AAGCATCTCCACTTCCCCCCTGATGTCTGGAAAATTCTCTTAAGTCATAGCCCAAGTTCTTGCTACCTAGGGTTTGTCATAACACTAGGTGTTTAGATCATCAAGCTTTGATAACATGTAAATGGAATTTTTGAATTTAGAGTTTTTTTTTTTTTTTTTTAAGAAAACCTGACTCAGGATTATTTTTTTTTTTTTTTTTTTTTTTTTTTTTTTTTTGCGGTACGTGGGCCTCTCACTGGTGTGGCCTCTCCCGTTGCGGAGCACAGGCTCCGGACGCGCAGGCTCAGCGGCCATGGCTCACGGGCCCAGCCGCTCTGCGGCATGTGGGATCTTCCCGGACCGGGGCACGAACCCGTGTCCCCTGCATCGGCAGGCGGACTCTCAAGCACTGCGCCACCAGGGAAGCCCCAGGATTATTATTTCTTGATTGGCTTAAAACGCGTTTTTGACAGAGCAGAGCAAAGACTTCATTGTAGTCGCTGGGGTCTGCCTGCTGTTTACTAGAAGCCCTGAAGCCTGCTGATGCAGTGGGTGGGGAGATCGAGGGGAGCATTATTTCAGTGGAGTAAAAAAATAAATCCGCTTATTACTTTAATAAATGTTAAACCCATTACGTATATAACCTGAAGAAGGAGTAGGAAGAAGAAAACTCAGCTGGTCGCAGACCCCCGGTAAGGTCAGTGACGCAAAACCCTCCCCCTCCAGCTCCCTGGTCAGCCAACACTCTAACCAGGACCCGCCCTTGCTGGAAAGTGGCTGGAGAGGCGGGCATTGTCCATCAAGACTCTTTCCCAGCTTTTTCTGTCCACCTTATTCACCACCAACTTTAGATCAAAAAGCCTCTCAGTTGCCTTTGGAAATTAAACTTATGCTCAAGGTCCAAGCCATGTGTCCACGGAGGAGAACGTGATGAATGTGTACAAGCATCCAGGCAGATCCTCAAACACGTTTCTGAAATGTTTTGAGTGACGGCATAAATGTCTTCCCAAGAGAGCTCTCAGAAGAGGAACACGCTCACTGGATCTGTGCCTTAGAGAAAGCATCTTTGTGATGACAGTGCATGCACACCTTACGGAGCCCCTGACAGGCATCCCAAAGCCCGTGTATGCACTGCATCTCCTTGCAGCTCTGTGTTGGCCCTGAGAGCCAGGTGGACCCCGGGAAATGGCAACAGTGAGGCAGATGAAGAGAAAGTTAAACTCTCTTCCAGCTGGGCAGCCCCTTTTGATGTCAGCAACTGAGGGGCACTTTGTGTCCGTGCCGTGAATTGTAACGTCTACGGGATATTCCAGGTGGGCTGTTGGAAGCAGCTGTGTGGGAGCAATAATGTCAGTATCAGAAGAGAGCCAGGATTGCACCTCGTCATGAGGGCAGGTGCTGCTCTGACCTCTGTGAGAGGCCACCTGGCACAGGGAGGGCTGCAGCCCAGTCATCTGCCCCTCCCCAGAGGCCTGCGCCTCCGTCATGGTCTTCCCTTGTCTCCCTCTACCCCTGAGCTCTAGAGGCAGGGGGCCCTGATGCTGGCTTAGGTGACCCCTGTCAGATTCAACGCATGTCCTCATTGGGCTCCACCTCTCCAGACACCAGGGAGATTCAGGTGCAAACATGTAGGTGCTGTTGGGAATTTGCACAAGAACAAAATATGAGTCATTGATTCATTTGGTCACATGTTTACTTAAAAAAATTTTAAGGGACTTCCCTAGTGGCTCAGTGTTAAGAATCCACCTGCCAATGCAGGGAACACAGGTTCAAGCCCTGGTCCGGGAAGATCCCACATGCCGCGGAGCAACTAAGCCTGCGATCCACAACTACTGAGCCTGCGCTCTAGAGCCCGCAAGCCACGACTACTGAAGCCTGTGCGCCTAGAGCCCGTGCTCCGCAACAAGAGAAGCCACCGCAATGAGAAGCCCGCGCACCGCAATGAAGAGTAGCCCCCGCTTGACATGACTAGAGGAAGCCTGTGTGCAGCAATGAAGACCCAATGCAGCCAAAAATAAATAAATAAATGAATAATTTTTTAAAAAGATGATGAAAAAAAATAATTTTTAAAGTCTTTTTCATTTTTCATTAAAGTATAGTTGATTTACAATATTTGTGTACAGCAAAGTGATTCAGTTATATATATATATATATATTCTTTCTCATGTTCTTTTCTATTATGGTTTATTACAAGATATCGAATATCTTGTCCTACCTGTGCTATATGGTAGGACCTTATTGTTTATCTGTTTGATACAGAGTAGTTTGTATCTGCTAACCCCAAACTCCTAATTTATCCCTCCCCCCTTCCCCCTTTGGTGACCATAAGTTTGTTTTCTGTGTCTGGGAGTCTGTTTCTGTTTTGTAAATAAGTTCATTTGTGTGATATTTTAGATTCCACATATAAGTGATATATATCATATGATCTTTGTCCTTCTCTGCACATATTTATTTTTATTCATCAGATGGTCATTGAGCCCCTACTCTGTGTCAGCCACCTGCTGTGGATGCCAGGATGGGGAATCCACATCCCTGTCCTGCAGGAAGAGATTGCAGAGACAGTCTTGTTCAAGTGGCCCAAGAAGGTGCTGGGGACTCTGAGGAGGGAGCACACGGGACGCCGAAGTGGGTCAGGGATTGGACTGGGAAGCAGCTTGTGCACAGAGAAGTATAAACAAGGTCTTTAGGAAACACAAAGAAAAAGAGGTGACCTGCGGCTGGAGGATGAGAAGCATCAGGGAAGGCTTCGTGGAGGAGGGGAAAGGGGGTGGTGCTGCAGCAAGGACTCTACAAGCCGAGGGGAAGGATGAGTGAAAGCGTGTGCCGGAAAAGACCAGGGCATGGTGTGTGCAGATCTGAGTTCGACTGGAGATCAGACTCATGGTGGGAGGACAGTGGGAAGCAGGCTGGGGAAGTAGGGTGGAGGCATATTGTGAAGGGCCTTGATGCCCTGTTAGTTTTTATCTTGTTCTTAAGCAATGGAGGAAGTTGAGGATTTCTGAGCCGAGGAAAGAGGTGATCACAGGTGTTGACAGGAAGAAGGCTGGAGTGAGAGGAGAAAACCTGTTATTTTATCCACTCTTTGGAAGTTGCCTTTGAATGAGGTACTGCCCCCCTTGGGTCTTCTTTAGTGAGAAGCCACAGTCCCGTGCCTGCTGTACCAATTCTTATCTCCTCCGGCTACCGGCTCTGGTCCCACCTGGGGGCCCACTGCCATCGGGCCGAGGGCGTTTGTCAGGAGCGGGGCTGGCTCCTGGGTCAGAAAAGCTCTTCAAAAAGTAACTGTGTGTGAGAGACGGAGAGAGAGAGAGAATATATGAGGCTGGTCGGGGAAAGGAAGAGGGAAAGGAATTCATTTGGGACCAAATCATGAACCTCCCTGTTGAGAGAGATGAGGGCAGATAGAGCAAAGGGTTTTCTAGGATAACCTGGTGGCGGAGCCGTACTGAGAAGATGATGGGTCCTCAGAGGTGGGTTCCGGTGTCACAGTTTACTGACTACTTGCTCAGGCAGCCCACGTCTGAGAGAACCGTGGTGTGTTCACCCTGGACTATGTGTGCAGCTTGGGCCACAGCGTGGAAAGAACACAGAGAGTTAGACGAGGTCCTCAGAGGGTCTCTGAATGGTTGAAGGGGCTTTTATCTGAAGATATAGTGAAGAGCTTCAGATTTTTTTTGTGGACAAAGTGAAGGCTGAGACACACAGGCTAGATTTTGGAGCCATTTGATTGGGATAGGAATGGGAGAAACTTGTCTCCAAATCCTAAACTCCTAGAGGTAGGGCTCTGGAGTGAAACTGGGAAGAGGCAGCTGTCGGGGCAGTAAGATGAAATATTCCTTCACACGACGAGCAGCACACGTAAGGACATTGAGATCTCAGAGATTGTTGGAGAAGAAGCCTATAAATGAGATGTGAGACAAATTTACATCAATTCCAGGATGACAGATCCACCACAGGATGCTAAGGTCAGTAAAGGGTGTCTGGGGCTGCGCTTAATCTTTTGAAGTCGACACCACAGGGGATAACGGTGCCTTCCGTGGAGGTACTGCTCAGGGGCACGGGTCTGGGGGGTCCCGACTTGTACAGAAAGCAGTTTTCTGTTTTCTTCTGCACTTACTTGGATCTCCAAAGTGACCAACACTGAGCCCTAACATTTTTAACCTCTCTTGATTTTTATTTCTTCTGACTAAGAGTATGATCTTTTCATGCTAATCAATATCTCAGGAGTGTGATCAGCTGTCATGGTGAGCTCTGAAACGTAAAAGGGCAGTCCTCCAACAGACACGAAGAGACAGCTCTCCGTTATCCAAGGTCAAGCGGAGCAAGGAACACACACACACACACACACACATCCTGAGCCGGCCAAATAGCTTCAGTGTTTCCTCCAACCAAATGTCTTCTTAAAGTTGTTATTAAGGAATCAAAGAGGATGATTTATTTTTTAACATCTTTATTGGGGTATAATTGCTTTACAATGGTGTGTTAGTTTCTGCTTTATAACAAAGTGAATCAGTTATACATATACATATGTTCCCATATTTCTTCCCTCTTGCGTCTCCCTCCCTCCCACCCTCCCTATCCCACCCCTCCAGGCGGTCACAAAGCACCGAGCTGATCTCCCTGTGCTATGTGGCTGCTTCCCACTAGCTAGCTACCTTACGTTTGGTAGTGTATATATGTCCATGCCTCTCTCTCGCTCTGTCACAGCTCACCCTTCTCCCTCCCCATATCAAAGAGGATGATTTTTGCTTCTTCCTTTCTTTCTTTGCACTTTCTACTCCGCTGATTGAGAGCTTAGGACATGTGGAATGGTCAGCCTGTGGCAGGTGGGGGGAAGGGAGAAGCTCAGAACTTCCAAGGAGGCAGCAGGACCTTCAGACACTGGAGGCAAAGAGTCCTAGACTATCTGACCCAGAAGGGAGTCGTGTGACTCTGGATTGAATGGGCCAGTGAGGGTCACAGAAAGCAGGGACCCTGCAGGCCTGGCCTGACTAGTGCGTGTCCCCCATGACGTGGTGCAGGTGACTGCTGGCTTCTGGCGGCTGTTGCCTCCCTCACCTTGAATGAAGAGCTGCTTTACCGCGTGGTCCCCAGGGACCAGAACTTCCAGGAGAACTACGGGGGAATCTTTCATTTTCAGGTATCCTGGCTTGCTCACAGCCCTTGACACTACTTTCCATAGTCTTGGGACCCATGCTGAGAATCAGAAATCTGGGTTTGGGGCCCAGTAGCCTAGGTTTTAATAATCTCTCCAGGGGATTCTGATGCGTGCTTGAGTTTGAGAAACTTTGCTTTAACATGTCTATCCAAGCATCCACACATCCATCCCCTCCTGTCTCCCCCAGGCCATGTGGCCTTGAGGAAGGCACCTTGTTTTTGTTTTTGTTTTTGCGGTACGCGGGCCTCACACTGTTGTGGCCTCTCCCCACAGGCTCCGGACGCGCAGGCTCAGCGGCCATGGCTCACGGGCCCAGTCGCTCCACGGCATGTGGGATCTTCCCAGACCGGGGCACGAACCCGTGTCCCCTGCATTGGCAGGTGGACTCTCAACCACTGCGCCACCAGGGAAGCCCGAGGAAGGCACCTTGGAGTGAGGGTCAGGAGATGTGAGCCCGAGTGGCATCACGCAGCATCACAGTTGCCACTGCGTGATGCAAGTTTTCTTATCCACAAACTCAGCCACTGGACTCGATGTTTCCTGCTTTTGCTGGCGTCTCCTATGGGCACGGATAAGTAAGACACAGATCCTGCTCTTAAGGAGTTCATTAAAGGTCCAAGGCTGGAACCTTGATCAGCACAGACGCTCCTTCTGAGGCCCACTGAGAACGCTGACTCTGCCTCTCAGCTCATCCCTGTGAACGGGTGCTGTGTTTCCCTCCCACAGTTCTGGCAGTATGGAGGGTGGGTGGAGGTGGTGGTGGACAACAGGCTGCCCACCAAGGACGGGGAGCTGTTCTTCCTGTGCGCCGAGGAAGGCAGTGAGCTCTGGAGCACGCTGCTGGAGAAGGCCTACACCAAGTAAGTGGGTCAGGGAGGAGCTGGGAGGCTCTGCAGTCTCCTTGGAGGATTTTACCTAACCCCTCCCCAAACTCTGGGTGCCATGCCCATCGTTCCCAGCCCCTGCACCCCATTTAAAGTACCCCTCCGTAACTAAGAGAAACAGAAATTTGGGCTACGAGTTAAAAGCTCAGCTCTGTCCCACATGAATGAGTGAATTGGGACCATCACTTAGCTTCTTGGTGTCTCAGCTTTGTCCTCTTTCAAACCCCCAGGTCAGTTCTTAGGTCAACGTGAATTTTTATTTTATTTATTTATTTATTTATTTATTTATTTATTAATTATTATTTTTTGTGGTACGCGGGCCTCTCACTGTTGTGGCCTCTCCCGTTGCAGAGCACAGGCTCCAGACGCGCAGGCTCAGCAGCCATGGCTCACGGGCCCAGCCGCTCCGCGGCATGTGGGATTTTCCCGGACCAGGGCACGAACCCGTGTCCCCTGCATCGGCAGGCGGACTCTCAACCACTGCGCCACCAGGGAAGCCCCAATGTGAATTTTTAAAAGAATGACAAAGAAGAAGAATAAAGCAAATGTACTTAGATCCCAAACTCATCAAAATCTCTACCCTTTGCTTGGAAGTCATACTCCTTCTCACTGGCGTTCAATGTTCAAAGTCTTCTTTGGGGTTCTTTGAATTAGTTTCATTGACTGGTACCCTTTTGTGCAACCCCTGTTCCTTCCCAGCCCTATTCCCAAAGCAAACCCCAAGGGATGCCTCTCAGCTTTGAGGGAGGGTTCCCATCATCCCTACCCATGCCCCCAACCCCCAGAAACCCAAGAAGCCAAGGTCAGCTCTGGAAGGATTGTATTTTGGTTTTTAAAAGAGCACATGGTTTGGTGAGAGGTGATCTGAGATTTGCTCCTGGAAAAGTGCTGAGCTGGCCACGTGAAACTGGGCCTAAGCCCCTCCCTGGCCCACAGACAAAATTGGCAAAGGCCCTCCTGTCCCTTCCAGACCACACCATGTCCTACCTACCCCATCCCATGTGGTCCCCTCGCTGGGGTTGCTAATGGCTCTGAATGATGCACGTATTCTTTTTTTTTTCCAACAGGCTCAACAGTTCTTATGAGGCTCTCGCTGGAGGGTTTTGAGGATTTCACAGGTGGCATCTCTGAGCTTTATGAGCTGAAGAATCCACCAGTCAGTCTGTCTCAGATCATCCGGAAGGCCCTCCGAGCAGGGTCTTTACTGGCCTGCTCCATTGATGTGAGCCGGGAAGGTTTCTCTTTGCTGCCCCTCCCCATGTGTGGTAGGGAAGGAACCGGACAGGGGCTAGAGGCTGGGAAGGCTTTGGGCCAGAGCAGAGTCTAGGACTTACAGGGCAAGTCCCGTGACATATTTGTTCCTAGCACGTGGGAGCCGGTGGGAAGACCTAATTAATGGGTAGGAACTGGAGTTGGTCTCATAAACTCAGAAACCATAGGAGTTCTAAGTGTTAAGCCCCATTAGTACTGCAGGAATTGCCCTAAGAATGCAGCCTTGATCTCTGGATCCTGGGCCCTACCTTTGCTACCCCCTCTTGCTAAGTAATCTTGGGATTTTGGAAAACAAATATGGTGATTGACAATACATGATGGGCTTTGAGAACACTGAAGAAAATGGGAGAGGTTCTGAACCAGGGGTGGTGCCCTGTCTGGGGGCTGGCTGTATGTGGTTCCAAGGTAGTGTGTAGACCAGAGCCTGGAGGCCACCAGCCATGTGGTCTGCTGTCACCTGCCCCTCCACCTGCTCTTTCTCCTTCTCTCGACCCTTACCTGGTGACCTCACACACGTGAATGGCAAAGCAAGAGCAGTCCCCCTTTCTCCTCTCTATAAAAACCCCAGCAGGATATGTGTATTTTTGGTGAAGAAGTGACGTGGGGTCTGGGGAGAGGGAGGGGCTGTTGAGGAGGGACCCTGGGGACACCCACCGCCACTGGTGAAACAGGGCCAACAGTCATGGATAATTAGCCTTCTGCAGGTAGTGTGGGGTCCTTCTTGGAGAATAAACGGCTTCCCGCTTCCTGTGTCATTTCAAAGGCTGGTAAGTCATACTCCAGGACTGGCAGGCAGGCCTGATCAAAGAGGGTTTGGATGGAGAGAGCTCTATTTACCTGAGGTTAATTTCTGTCCCTGCCCCCACCCCCACCAGCCTTGCACTGGGGCCCTATGGCTGTGTAGCATGTCCTTGGAAAGCATTGTAGGACTGGCCCCGACAAGGTCAGGGGCAGCCACTCTGAGTGGACTTTACTCTCAACTCAGGTCTCCAGTGCAGCTGCAGCAGAAGCCATCACCAGCCTGAAGCTGGTTAAGAGTCACGCATCCTCTGTCTCTGGAGTCGAAGAGGTAAAATTGGGCATGGGGAGATGGAAGGGCAATGTGTAATGATACTACCATAAATCCCTGACATCCTTGAGAGAAAGAGAGGGAATCACCACCTAGCCCTTCCCTGCCCTGCTGAGGAGCAGCATCTCTGGTGGCACAGAGCCCCTGGCACCGACCCACACTCAGCTCTTGCTTATTACAAGGGCCGTCCTACCTCTTACCCACTCAGAGATGAATAACGTAACCTCTCTGAGCTTCAGCTCTATGGGTTCTAACTAAAGGCAGGCTATCCTCTGAGATGTGGCCAGGAAGAGGGACGAAGTTTTGGAGGAAAGTTGTAGACATTGTCAGTTAGATCTACACTCATTCTAAGAAGGGTGTCTGGGCTTCCCTGGTGGCGCAGTGGTTAAGAATCCGCCTGCCAATGCAGGGGACACGGGTTCGAGCCCTAGTCCGGGAAGATCCCACATGCTGAGGAGCAACTAAGCGCATGCGCTACAACTACTGAGCCTGCGCTCTAGAGCCCATGAGCCACAACTACTGAGCCCATGTGCCACGACTACTGAGGCTGAGCTCTAGAGGCCGTGCTCCACAAAAAGGGAAGCCACTGCAATGAGAAGCCCACGCACAACAATGAAAAGTAGCCCCTGCTCTCTGCCACTAGAGAAAGCCTGTGCACAGCTTCGAAGACCCAATGCAGCCAAAAATAAATAAATAAAATAAATAAATTGAAAAAAAAAAAGCATTAAAAAAGTATATCTTACTGTATGTCATATGGAAAAAAAAAAAGTATGTTTGTACAGGTAAAGTAGTGGAAACCCATAGGATCTCCAAAGAGAAAAAGGCAGTAAAACCTGCCCCAACTTTCAAGGTGGGGTGTGATGGTGGGAAGGAAAGCAAGTATTCCTTACGTTTCAACCCAAGGAGAAAGGATGGGCTGAACTTTTCATTATTTCTATTTACCATAGTCTGCTTACCTCCAAAAAGGATGTGCATTGGTTTACAATGAAAAGCATGGACACAATAAACCACAACAAAGGTAAAATACACCAGACAATCTAGGCTAAAGACAGTGCTCCAGTTGAGAAATTAATTTTGTTTTGGGTTTTCTGATGGCCAAAGCAAAAAAGGAAACACAGTGGTTGTCTCAGTTTTTGTTATTTATTAAAAAGGCATGAATGTTCATTACGTGTGTTTGTGTTTCACAAATACGCTCTTTAATGATGTCAATTCCCAAATATGAATTGAGCACATATATGTAAACACTGGGCGAGGGCATGACGGGTCAGACACTGAAGACAGAACGGTCCATCATGTTTGCACGTGTATGCAAAGGCACACGTGGGGGCTCCTGGTGAGTGTTCCGTAGACAATAGGGGAAGGTGGATGTATGGATCTCCCACTATGGGCTTTGAGACAGACTGCCTGGGTGCCTGTCCTCCATCTACTACTTACTAACTAGGTAATCTTGGATAACTCAACCCCTCTGGCTGAGTCTCAGAGGTTTTTTTGTTTGCTTGTTTGTTTTTTTAAATTTTTATTGGAGTATAGTTGATTTACAATGTTGTGTTAGTTTCAGGTGTACACCAAAGTGAATCAGTTATACATATACATATATCTACTCTCTCTGGGTCTCACAGTTTTGAGAGAGATGAAAATGAAGATAATAACAGCACCCAGTTTATAAGATTGTGGTGAGGTTTAAATGAGGTGATAATGCATCTGAGCTGCCCAGCTCCATGCCTAGCTCATACTACCTGCTCCAAAAATGCTAACTGCTCTATTCTTAGTATTTGTTGGAGGGCATTGATTGTCAATAGGTCTCATATATTAAGAACTGAGTCAGTCAACTATCAAATTTTAATCCAAGTTAAAGCAGATAGACACTTGTTTTTATGCTGGACTTACTATATTCAACCAGATTGTGGAAGATAGAGTAGTTAGCTAAGGCTTGAAAACATGTGTTAAAAGCAAATATAAGTGGTTGTTTAGGGGCATTTGAGGAATTGAATGCAGGTCCGCTCAGGCGAGGACATGAACGCAGGGCAGCAGGGGTATGCGCGGTGATTCAGTTGCCTTTGTCTGCGGCCCTTGCAGGTGGATTTCCGGGGCCATCCAGAGAAACTGATGAGACTCCGGAACCCGTGGGGCGAAGTGAAATGGATGGGGGCCCGGAGCGATGAGTAGGTTCTTTCCTCCCTCCAGCCGTGCTCACCTCCCTCTGCAGGAAGGCATCACGCAAAACACGCAGTGATCGTGAGACCCACAGTGGAGTACGCTCGGCAGTGCTTTCCGTCCACAAAGCACACAGCCTGTTCAGAAAAGAGTGTTAGGTGGTTCCAGGTGGGGAAAAGCCAAACAAAACCCACTCAGCTGTAGTCTTTGATTCCTTGCTCTGCTTTGGCATTTGCAAGTTTGGCAGCTCAGTGGAATTTTGCTGAGCGCCGGAGGGTTGGCTTGTTTTCTACCTACCACCGCGGTCTTCCAAAGGTGAGACCCATCACTCTCCATCAGATTCTTTCCACTCCACAAAGCCTGGTCACTCGGACAAAGGCCAAACCCCTCAGCATCAAGAAGAAACGTGCCTAGAAATAGGAACTGGATCCTAGGAGCCACTGGCCTCCAGAGGCAGTAAGGATGAGTGGGAGTGGCGCCCGCTCCCCCAAAGCTCATTACGGGCGGGTATTCATCTCTCCCGACAAAGCCATTAATGAACGGAGGGGCCCAGACCTCTCACAGTGGAGAGTGGCAGCCAGTCAGAGGTGGTGCCTGGACACAGAGGCCTCCTGTGGTGTCCTGGGACAGCTGTGCCCTGGAATCGATGCCACTGTGGTACCAGAGGATGGAGAGAGCATGGCCCAGTTTCCATCCTAGTTAGCGCCGCTGGCACGGGGGAGGCAGGTTGGCGCTGGGGAAGGATGGAGAATTGGCCAGTGTCACTGATGAAGAGCCACCAGAAGTGGGAATGGTTATAATAACAACTCACCCCCTAGCACATCCTTAAGCCTCGTATGTACCTCATACGTGCTGTCCACACTGCATGATGCCATCAGGGCTTTGGAAGGGAACTTTATTACATTTATGAACTAATCACACATCATTAGTGCTCGTAACTGGTACTTCCCTTGAGGTTTGTGTCATGAAGAAACACATCCCCAGGGCCACGGATCACCTCTTATATTAAAGGTTTTTCATTCTCCCGTCTATGATGGAGCAAAACCCAAAGCCTTAGTTCTGCCAACTGCCCCAAAAGGATGTCACGGCTGAATGAAACGGAAACCCCAGTTTCCCAAGCTGCTTACGGGGCTCATGTGACTTTATCTCCTTTCCCCAAAGATGCTCAGTCCCTAACAGGCTGGGACAGGTCCAAGGGTGTGAGGTGATGGCAGGCAAGCCCCGCAGGCTACATCTGGAGACGCAGCCAGGGGTATTGATATGTGGCTGCCGGGGGGAAGGAGGGTGCTGCATCTCTGAGGTAACATCCCTAGTCTCCGCTCAATGTCTTTAAATTATAACTTTTTTTTTTTAAGTTTCAAAAAACTAACTGGGAGATTTAGGTCAGATCTCTTATTCTCCAGCTAGTCCCCTAATCTTTGTTTCTAACAAGCATATTCTGAGGTTTGGCTCTTTTTTAAAAAAAATACATTTATTTATTTTATTTATTTATTTTCAGCTGTGTTGGGTCTTCGGTGCTGCACGCGGGCTTTCTCTAGTTGTGGCGAGTGGGGGCTACTCTTCATTGCAGTGCGCGGGCTTCTCATTGCGGTGGCTTCTCTCGTTGTGGAGCTGTGTGGGCTTCTCACTGTGGTGGCTTCTCTCGTTGTGGAGCACGGGCTCTAGGCGCGTGGGCTTCAGTAGTTGCGGCATGTGGGCTCAGTAGTTGTGGCTCGTAGGCTCTAGAGCACAGGCTCAGTAGTTGTGGCACATGGGCTTAGTTGCTCTGCATCATGTGGGATCTTCCCGGACCAGGGACCGACCCCGTGTCCGCTGCATTGACAGGTGGATTCTGAACCACTGCGCCACCAGGGAAGCCCAGGGAAGCCCCTGAGGTTTGGTCTGATCCAATGACTATTTCCATGAACTAAATAGGCCCTGGGTGCTCCCATCCCTGATGCCTAGGGGTCCTGAGAGCCCCCCTGGAGGAAGAGGCTGGGCTTGGGTATACCCCAGCTTTTATGCAGCGACGGGGAGGTCTTCACGTTTTGCTGAAAGCAATCAGGGAAGGGATTTTTTAAAGATGGATCTGGATACTGCTCAGTTATTTAGCGTTGCATACATATTTCAGGAAAACCTAACTCCTTAAAGGTCAGGGAGCTGGAAATGGCATTTCAACAAATTATGTGGGTATTGCTATGGAAAGGCCACCAGCAGGAGGCCTCACAGGGTGACATTACTTCATGGAAATTGTCACAAAACTGGGCCTGATTGTCATTTTGCAGGCTCAGGAAGGGGACCATGTTCATGTGCCCAGAGATGCTCAGACCCTCTCACAGTATCTTCACTTCAGACTGTTAGATAAGCCAGAAGGACGTCTCACCAACTGAGAAGCGGTGGAGTGGCCTGTGGCGGCCATTCTCGCAGCTCCTGCCTTGGACTTGCCCAGGCCTGTGATCAGGGCCTGGGGGGCTGAATCAGACATGAATGTAAAACTTGCCTGGAGAGTGAACTTAGAGCAAAGCCATGGCGCAGTGTTCCTGCTGCATGCCTGGGGTCACCCTGTTAGGGCCCGTGGAACCCCGTCCCTTCCCCAGGCTACACCCCCCTCCCACCCCTGGCTATCATTTCGGTATTCCCCATTTCTCAGGGGGAAGTTGAGCTGCAGTAAACAGCTTGCACTGCAGCAAACCCTTCAGGGATGATCACCTCTGCTTCCTTTAAAAAAACCTTTAAATGCTATTCTTTCTTTCCCAGTGCACCAGAGTGGAATTACATAGATCCCAGGCAGAAAGAAGAGCTGGACAAGAAAGCTGAGGATGGAGAGTTCTGGTGAGAGTCACCTGCGGGAGTGCTGTCCCCTTAGTTGTGGGTCCATTCCTGGTTCACAGGTGGGCAGCTCTCTCTAGGTGTTCCAGGAATTCCACATGGTTCCCAGCCAGGAGGGCTTGTTTCTCCTCCCCCTTTTACCCCAGAGTAGTTCTACCTCCGTACTAGTACGTCTAAAGCATTGAAACCAAGATATCTGGGCCTCAACACGGATTAGCTATCAGCTTGTCTTCCTTCGTTTCCATATCTTTCCACTGAAATAGGAGCACTGTTCCTATCTCTTTAAGTCCAAGATTTAGCATAGCATCAAAATAAGATAACTTGGGCTTCCCTGGTGGCACAGTGGTTGAGAGTCCGCCTGCCGATGCAGGGGACACGGGTTCGTGCCCCAGTCCGGGAAGATCCCACATGCCACAGAGCGGCTAGGCCCGTGAGCCATGCCTGCTGAGCCTGCGCGTCTGGAGCCTGTGCTCCGCAACGGGAGAGGCCACGACTGTGAGAGGCCTGTGTACCGAAAAAAAAAAAAAAAAAGAGAGAACTTCCTTCACTCATGGGCTAAGGAAGATAATAGGGACACCGCTAAGAATATGACGTGGTTTAGGGGCCATCTCTAGGCTCCAACTTGAACACCAGTTAGATGTAAACAGGAGGGAACTTGGAGATGGTGGTTTGGTTCAATTTACCTGCCAGGGTCTCTCCAGTTGATGGTTTCGTCTCTTTGCGGGGTTGGTTAGATATGAGAGGGGGTTCTCTAAGAAAAATGGAGATGCTAACAATAGTGAGGAATGTGGTCAATGACCCCTGCATATTTGTACAGTGGGCTGCAGAAAAGACTCGAGCTAGCCCACGGCCTTTGGTCCGTCCTGTGCCCAGGGGGCACGCCTTCCATCACTTTTCCAGACCAGCTCTCTCGACTGAGAGCCCATCTGTCCCTCTGCCCCCAGGATGTCTTTTTCGGATTTCTTGAGGCTGTTCTCTCGGCTAGAGATCTGCAACCTGTCCCTGGACTCCCTGAGCAGCGAGGAGGTGCACAAGTGGAACCTGATTCTATTCAATGGGTACTGGATACGGGGCTCCACTGCCGGCGGCTGCCAGCACTACCCAGGTGAGGCGGGAGCTGCCGTGCTCACCTTCTTCTGGCTTGTCCTCCCAGGGCTGGGCATCCTTATATGTTAATCTTGGGACAGTGCCTTTGCACTCTGTTCTCTGGCTCCTGGCACCTCTTCGTGGCCCAGCTTCTTTCTGGGGCTTGGAGGCCAGGTCAGCAGTGGTGGATGGTGGCTCTGCAGCCATTCACCTGGGACCTGATCTCAGGTAACATCATTCTTCAGCGTCTGTGTGTTCAGACTATCTCTGCTTCTTCCACCTGCCCCCTGCCCCACAAGGCCGTTCTTCCTTGTACTAACCATGCACTTGTCACCCTGCACCAAGGCCTCTTGTTTTTCTCTGGGGCTTCCTCCATCCCCATGTGGCCCGGCTGGCTGGCAACTGGCCCACTGCGCCCTGGGACAGAGGCTAATGGTGCGCTAGAGGGACACGGGTTCGGCATCACTGTACCAGCAGACCGCATCCATCCGAGCGGCCATTCTGCTTTGTTTGCACCTGAGTCACACACAGGGTGTGCGAATGGCCACTGTCCACTCCCCTGGTCGTCATCAGAACTCCATCCCTGGTGGGGATAGTCTGGCGCAAACTGCTGCCTCTGCACTAACCCGGGCCCTCATCTTATTAAAGGTGGGAAGCCTTCCCTGTTTGCGGGAGACCACTAGTATCTACACATATAGGCTCCTCCTAGGTTGAATCAGCTGAGGCAGCACCAGAGGAAGAAACTCCGAAAAACAACCCCACATCTCTAAGGAGAAATGAAAGAAAGCAAAACCCACCCTCTCCACTCCCCACCTCCCCAGGCCCCATGTCTCTCCTGGTCTGACGTTGACATTGTTAACCGACTTCGACTCGTAAGCATTGGGCCTTGTTCTCATGACAGAGCTCATCGCAGACCTGTGCTCAGGGCGTGGAAGCAGCATTAGAATAAAATCCCGTGTGGGTGCAGTCCTGGGTCTTGACCGGGTCTCTTGTTCATTATCCCCATCCAACCCGAGCTCCCATTTCTGACGGCAGAGATGGAAGGAGGGTGGTCCTTTCCTGCCACCGTCGCTCAGATGCCCGGTGCAACAGCTCCGGGACCCTGGGAGGGTCGTCTCCCTGGTCTGAGCTTCAATTTCCCAATCGTCAAAGTGGAGGGATAATACCCACCTTTGGAAGTGCTTTGTAAATGGTGTAGTGTTATACAAATGGGATGTGTTATCTTTATGACCTGTTTTCTTCTTCCAGCTCTGTTAAGGAGTAAACAAAAAGTGTAGGGATTGCAGTGATGTTGCATTTGGGAGAAATTAAAATATGCTCACCATTAGCAAGCTCTTAGAAAATGTGTAGGAAATTTGCATGGATCATTTTGGGAGCTCGGAATTGTAGGGGTGCCTAAGGTATCTGTCTGCACGAAATCGCTACCCCATCTGTGCCGCCAGCTAGCTGTTGGGACAGATGGACTGTTCCTGCCCTTTGGTGATGATGTAAGTTTAGAAGATTACAGAATTGTCTCTGGCTCCTCTGGAATCGACAGATATTTGTTTTAAAATCTACACACTTGTAGGGGCATCCCTGGTGGCGCAGTGGTTGAGAGTCCGCCTGCCGATGCAGGGGATGCGGGTTCGTGCCCCAGTCCGGGAAGATCCGACATGCCGTGAAGCGGCTGGGCCCGTGAGCCATGGCCCCTGAGCCTGTGCGTCCGGAGCCTGTGCTGCACAACGGGAGAGGTCACAACAGTGAGAGGTCCGCGTACCGCAAAAAAAAAAAAAAAATTCTACACACTTGTGCCTTAGATTAAAAAAAAAATCTGGAAGTGGAAGTTCTGGGAGGGTGGAATTGAATAAGTAATTTTATTGTTAAGAAAATATAATAACCAGTGTCTCTTGGTCACCTGTGAATGCCCTGTTATTGTATCAGGTTGGACCCTTACCTAGAAGATCTAAGCACTCTCTCCATCCCCCACCCCTTTCTTCCCCCAGGGCACATCGTTACTGAAATCACTGAGGCCCTGGCATGGAGATGGCTGCCAAGCCTATCTTCCTCAATCATACTCTGTCACTTGAGTCAGTCATAGAATTGCTGTGTGTCCCTGGATGACCCATTTGCCCTCTCTGTGCCTTGGCTTGTACAGTCGCTATTTGGAGAGATTTTTTTTTTTAAGGTCATATTTGAAATGAAGCAGTGTTTTAAAATATCCATAGGTGGTACGGCAGGCATGCTTCTTAATTGCCAATTATTATTCCTTGGGCATTATTAAATGACGTACTCTTGAGGGAGTGTCCCTCATCGCTGGCTGCCACGCTGAGCCATCTAGTGGGGCCCCTGGATCAATGGACAGAGGATCAGCAATCATGGCTGTTTTGGGCTGTGATCTGAAGCGGGGGCCCATCAGACAGGCTTCCCAGGGGGCAAGAGTGGTTGGTCATCTTCTTATAGTCTGTCAGGAGAGGCCTCCTTGGTAGCTAGATTTTGCTAGAATTGTCCTCATCTGTTTCAGGGACCTGCTTTTCCCCCCAGAGACCTCCTTCCTCCAGGAGATGGGTTCATCTTCACAGGTCAGTTCTTCACAGTCTGAGAACAAGGAGATGTTAATCATTTCCCCAGAAGACTTGGAGTTTCCTTCCCAGGGGGACCCAGTGTAGCCCTGGGACCACGGGACCTTGAATATCCCGTCAAGTATATCTGCGCCCTGGTTGATCAAATGGACAAGTGTAAAGTTTCCACATGCTGTGGGGGTGTGTGTGCTGGTATGTGGGTGGGGTAGGGAGATAGGAGGAAATGCTGACCACCTTGTAAAGCAAACTTGCCAAGGCCTGCTTACCCGGCACAGTTTGGCCAGAGTTACGCTTCCCTTGGGATGATCAAAATTCCTTCCTCTATTTCATTCTATTCTTCCCAGATCTCCTCACACCCCCTGGGGGGAACCACCATCTCCTGGGTGACTTCTAGCCACTTACTGGACCAATCCCCAGTTCAAAATCTGTTTGGACGAGGTGGGCGACCACCAGGAGGAGAGCATTGGTGAACCCGGCTGCACGGTGCTGCTGGGGCTGCTGCAGAAGAATCGCAGGCGACAGAAGAGGATGGGACAGGGCATGCTCAGCCTCGGCTATGCTGTCTACGAGGTACTCTGGAGCTGGGGTCAGCCGTCACGGCACGCCTGATGTCTTTGGTCAGAATATTTTGCCCAGCAATTGAAGCGAATCTTTCTTATTGTTTGGGTGTCCCTAATCAAGCATTTTCCTTGCTCCCCAAAATGCCTCCCGAATTCCACAATTAGAGATTCATTCCTCTGGCTTAAATCTCTACTGTTAACACTGAGACGTGTAATTCATTAAGCTTTGTCTGTCATTGAGGGTTCAGTGTAACTACACTTATTAGACTCTCTCCAGGTATAGGCTTCTCAGGGGACAGGAGCCAAGAAGGTGACACAAGGAGTATGAGGACATCACAGAGTGGGGGAAGGGAGCCAAAGACAAATCCTCTTTCTCCCTGGGCAACCTTGAAACACTTGTTGGGACACACAAGGCGTGGGCTGGGGTGAAAGGAGCCCCAGGTCATTTTCAGTTCTAGTGTCTCTGGATTGAAGGTCACAGCTGGCTCTGGGCTCAGGCTGCAGTGCGTGTCTCAATACCCCAGTTTGCCCTGTAACCACCCCTCTATAGATTTCACAGCCTAACAAGTAGGTTAAAGCAAGACCTCTGGGTCTTGACAAGTCTAGCCAGGATCAAATTGGAATCCACTTATTTTACGTAGGCAAAGACTTTTTATAACGAATTCCGGCGGGATTCATGGTGGTTGTTTTTATAGAATTTTGTTAAAAGTGAATTTCTTGGGAAAAATACAATTCTAATGAGAAACACCAAGAGCTGGCTGGAAGCCCAACATCTCAGTATACATAAGTGCATGGGAAAGAGTACTGTAATAAGAAACCAGTAAGGAAAAGTGCAATTGTCGAGCTCACGTGACCTCCAGCCCCTTTCTTTCTCTTATTTTGGAACTTAGAGCTTTAGAGTTTAGTGTGTGTGTGTGTGTGTGTGTGTGTGTATGTGTGTGTATTTTGTGTTGGAGGAATGGGAGTTGGAAAATAATTGCTACTTGATGGCTGGAGAAAAGTATTTCAAATAAATAAGCTCTAATTCTACTCCAGCGTATCCCTTCCATCCCCACCTAGAATGTAAGTAGGACCAAAACAGATTTTTTGCTCATAGGGATAAAAAACCAAGAAAGTACTTACCCTATGCATATCAATTCAACACTTCTTTAGTGCGCATCTGCCACGTGCCAGGTGCCGTGCTGAAAGCTGAGATCCAGAGGAAGAGCAGAAGGTTATCGACCTCAGGGTTTTCACAATCTAGAGGGGAAAACCACACACACACTCCACTAACTACAGGGCAGGTCAGATCTGCAATGACGGGGACCAGCACGGTGAGCTGAGGGCTCCTCAGAGAGGGATAGCTTTGTGGAGGAGAAGAATTTGATCAGGGTGTCAAAAAATGAGCTGGAGGGCTTCCCTGGTGGTGCAGTCGTTGAGAGTCCGCCTGCCGATGCAGGGGACGCGGGTTTGTGCCCCGGTCCGGGAAGATCCTACATGCCGCGGAGCGGCTGGGCCCGTGAGCCATGGCCGCTGAGACTGCGTGTCCAGAGCCTGTGCTCCGCAACGGGAGAGGCCACAACAGTAAGAGGCCAGTGTACTGGAAAAAAAAAAAAAAAAAAGAGCTGGATTTCAAAGGTGGACAAGGGAGAACATTCCAGCCATAGAGGACATCATGTGCTTCTTGACAGCTGGAGAGGAAGTGACAGTTTGGGAGAGCAGGCAGGAGGCGGGCATGGCCAAAGGGTGGGCTGTATGGGGACTGTGGCCACCAGCTCTTCATCCACCAGCTCTACCTTCTATAACCGGATCAACAAAGCGTTCTTTCAAAGGTACGTGAGCTAACACACGGAAATAGCTTTGTGGGCATGGCATTTGCTCTCGTAAATAATATATACGGCATGTCAAGTTTTCAGACATTAGTTTACAGCTGCTTATAAAATAACCCCATGTATGTGATCCGTGGACCTTCCTCTTACAGCCAGAGGCATATAAATTAGAGCATGACATCTGTGAACACAGCCACTTTAACGTTAGGGTGAGGAAGGTGTACAGCCCTGTAGGGAGTGTCTGTGCCTGGGCTTGTAGAAAGTACCTGGTGTTGGAGAGAGGCCATGTAGGGATTGCAGGGGGTACCATTCTCTGACCCCTGGAACTGCCTCTTCTGGCTTTAACTGTCTGCAAACTGGAGTCTTGTTTGAGGTGGGAAAACTGACAGTGACTGAGGAACAGCCAGAAACCCCCAAAGGCTAAAAAGCCCTGATCCTCCGGCCCCCGCTGTCTCCCCTGTAATCTTTCCTGCTGTGACAACAGGCTCCTGCCACGCAGACCTGTTATTTGCATTCAGGATATCTTGCATTTCAAAGGTGACTGTCCCTTTCCATCCATCAGTGGGCAAGGCTGGCCTGCGCTCCTGTCTGGATGCTGCGGCTGGGGACTTGTGCCACCTGAGACCTGGCTGGCTGGCTCAGTTCCTGCCTGGGGCCTCTTGGCAGTGGATTCAGAGCATATCGCCTGCGGCGGTGGGCGGGGTGAATGCAAAGACAGCCGGGGTGGTTGAGAGTCCCTGCCCAGGGGGTGAAGGCTGTTGGGAGGCAGATCCCCCGAGGACCTCTGCTCTCCCAGACAGCCGGGGCCTCTACATGCGGGATTTTAGCTTTAGATGCAAACTTAGAGGAGTGACAGTGACTGCAGACTTTTCTACCTCTGCTGCCAATTATAAACGGGGGCTCCAGAGTGAGGATGCCAGCTCATCCAAATTTTCCCTAATTTTTTTCCCTCAGAGTTGGCAGCTGCCCACAGACCTAAGCCACAAACAATGCCCTTGCTACTCTTCTGGTCAAAAGAGCCTGCTTGGGAGGGGCAAAGGTGGGAAAAGGACAAGGGGGGATTGAACCCTCTTCAGAGCCTTCTCTGGCATGGGAGGACTCCCACTCTGCATCTGAGATCTCCTGTGGGCATCACCATTTTCATTTGCAAATAATAGGACCTAACTCTACCTAGACTAGTGAAAAAGGAATTTACCAGCTCATGTCACCAAACCCAGGGAAGGACAGGGATGCTTAGGACAGGGGACGTGCCTGCTCTCAGGACCCTTTCTCTTCACATCTCCCCTCTGGTGTCAATGCCATCTTCCTGGTCTGGCTTTCTGCACAGTCTCTCTAATATCACCCACATAAAACAAGGGGGCCCCTTCCCTTAGTTCCAATTTGAAAATCCGAGAGGAGTCTGTGATGGACTCAGCTTGGGTCACGTGCCTATTCCTGGACCAATCCCTGTAGCCAGTGGTGATTAAATTATGTCTCGAGTTGAGTGAGACCCCTTTCTGGCCAAGCCCTTGATCTGGAGGCCAGGTCTCTAGGTCTGTAAGATGTTAGTTCTCCTTTAACCCCCAAGGTTAGTCCTCCTCAAACATTTGGGGTCCTGGTAGATTATACAATGTGAAAATAAGAACCTTTTTTTTCCTTTCGGATTTCTAGGGCTCTGTAGTCCACAGATGGCCTTGAAAATTCACCAATGACTTTCCAGTTTCAGAAATGCTAATGACTCTCACTTTAGCACAGAATTCCTCCCAGTGGCCCAGGACTGCACAGTCTGTGGGCCAGATGTGGGGAGGGACACAAAGGCACAAAGGGAGGCCCACGGCACCCTCAGGTGACATGCTCTTGTCTCCTGCCCTGTAGGTCCCCAAAGAGATATGTGAACACTGACGGAGATGTCCTCCTTGGTAAGGAACAGCTGGGCTGCCTTCGTGATGGGCACCCAGTGGCATGTGCTTCCTCTGATGGAAGCCGGTTCTCCCACAAACCGACTCCCACAGGATCCGGTGAGCTGCTAACCCTGAGAGAGCTGGTAAAGACACTTGGGTCCCACCCGCCAGGAAGGGGACAGTGGTGACCTGTGCCCCTTGTGTGCCTGGTGCTCTGATACAAACAAGATGACTGTAGCTCACTTAGGCTCCTGTTTATCTAGCCGACAGAAATAAGGGCCCAGAGAAGGAAGCACCAACTTTATCTTTTTGGCTCCCAGATTTTCCTGCATCTCCTCGGTGATTTACAGCTGGGTTAGAGAGGCATGTCATCAGGGTCGTACTTACATCTGGGGTTTCCCGCTACGGTCCCAGGCCTCACCCAGCTATCCCGGTGACCTCGTGGGCAGGGGCTGGTGGGGTGCTGTGAGACTGCCTCATCCATGCAGCTGGCACACAGTCAGGCCCCAGCTCGTCCCAGCCCAGTGAGTCTCTCCTTGGCTGCACGCTAGGGACACCTGGAAGCTCTTAGACATCTCCATGCCCAGACCAATTATGGCAGAATCTCTGGGGTGATTCCAATGTACAGCCAAGGTTAGGAACCACTTGTTCTGTCTGGGGCTACCCCAGCCGGAGTCTATTACTCGAATGATGTAGGGGTACGTTTGCCCTGCTGTGCTAATCCCTGCTCCCCCGGGGTTCTCAGCCTTGGCCACCTGGTAGCATGTGCCAGTGAGGCCCAAGTTCACTGGTTCCAGCCTATGCCTTCTTCCAAGGCTGCCGATCACTGGTCTACCCTGCCTGATGGCTCCCAGATGCATATTATTGGTTATGGAGGCAACAGACAAGAGCGAATGGATGATTTAGAGCATGCCCCTCTTCACTACTCAAAAGTATTTAAATTCAAACGTGCATTAAGTCTGATGGATGGTGGCTCCCATCAGAAGTGGCCCGTCTATGAGAGCGAGGTCCTCTGCACACACAGTGGAGCCTCCAGGGGCATCTCCCGGTGCTCTCCGTGCATCGCTGTGGAGCCTGTGCTCTGCAAGTGCCGGTGGCTCTTTGGTTCCAAGGCCTGGGGCCTTGTGAAAGCACAGGCTGCTGGGCCCCAGCCCCAGAGTCTCTGATTCCGCAGGTCTGGCTTGGGGCCCAAGGACCTGCACTTTCAACAAGCACCCCAGGGGTGCTCACGCTGACCCTGGGCCCACACACTCGTGGCTGGGCCAGGCCACGGGGAGGTGCGAGGGCCAGGGCCCTGGTGGCACATGCCTGTGTGGAGTCCCCAGTAGGTCAGAGGGGCCCCAGCTCCTGCCTCCGTGCTCTCCACCTCCCACTCTGGCCTCCCAGGTGAGGCTTCTGCAATGTGTCCTGCCCCTTGGTTCCTGCTAGAACTCAGTTTGCCCCATTCCTTTCCCACCTACCACCCCACACTTCTCCTTTTCCCCTGCTGGTTGCCTGTTTCCTCCCCTCGCAGTCATCAGGGAGGGCAAGAATGACATTTAGCCCCTTAACACTTGCACTCAGCCAAGGCCTTGCTGGCCATGCCCCCAGCATTCTGCCCAGAGTAGAAAACTTCTGGTGGGGGGGGATCCCAAGGCTGTGGCTGCTCTAGTGCCCAGGTCAGCAGGGGCAGGCTGGGGGGTCCCGCTGTGATGCAAAGAGGGTCGGGTGACCATGAATAGACACTGTCGACCCTGGGGTGGGCAGTCCAGCTCTGGGTCACACAGAAGTCACAGCCCTCGCAGCTTACCAGCACCTGCGCTCTGTCACAAGGATCTTGATGAAGACTGGTCATGAAGATACAGTGCAATGGGGAGGCTTGATCACAGCAGTAATAACACCGGCAACAGTGTTTCCAAAGCACTCTGTAGCCACTAATTAGCCCGTGGCATATGACCACAACCTCCCTCTCCCTCCAACAAACAGATGGGTCTTGGGGAGCATCTTCCCCCTCCCAGGAGGGCCAGGCCTCTCTCGGGGTGGCCACCCCCTCTGTCTGCCTCCCTGCCCCGCCCCCTCCCCCAAATCTGATCACCCTGGTTACCTTGCAGAGCAATTTTCCAAGCCAGGCCAAGGTGAGCAGGCCCTCCTGGCTGCTGTTGCTTGGGAACCAGGATTTAAGCCACAGGCCTGTATTGGGGAGCTCAGTGCCACACCCCCAGGTACAGCTGCAGAGTGAGAGTCTGTTGGATTCAATGAGGGATGATTCATGAGGACAAGTATCCAGAGAGAAGCTGAGCACACCTGCTGTCCAATCCTTCATTTACGCGGGAAGAGGGCAAGGGGTCTGGCCAAGGTCAGTGCCTCAACCTGGGCCGGGCACCCACAGGTGCTCTGAACACATTTGATGATGGGCACACGGTGAGCTCACGACAGAATCCAAGGCTTCCTGATTCTCAGCCCAGGGTTAAAAATCAACCGTCCCTAAATTAGTGTGATAAAACCCAACTCTGGGGCCTTCATCTTCCAGGATTTCACAAGACATTGACCCTGACTGTTGCTTTGCACAGCTGGAGAGCCACACGGATGAGCACCTGGGCCGGGTCTTCTTCCTGGGCCGCCAGCCTTCCGCCTGCTCCAGCACCTACGTCAACCTGCACGAGGTTTCGGCACATGTGCAGCTGCCCCCCGGGGAGTACGCAGTGGTGCCGTCCACCTTCGGGCCCTTCAAGGACGGCGACTTCTGCCTGAGGGTGTTCTCGGAGAAGAAGGCCAAGGCTCTGGGCGTGTTCTTTCCCTCTGGGGTGGCGGGGGTGACAGAGGGACCTGGCTCCGTGCAGGTGCAGGCCCTGTCACTGTGCGGGACCTACCCCCGGCTCCCAGAAGAAATTTGTAGAACACCATAGATCTCAAGGTCCTTCACTAGGTGTCCCGCTACTGCCCCTACACGTTGGTCTGTAGGACATGGGGGAGTTTTCCTTAAAAAAGGTCAAGGCTAGAGAGAAAGGGCACCAGTAACAGCCTGGTTAGAGCATTTTCCTCGCAGCGGGGATGGGCACTGCATAGAGGAGGATCTAGATGAGAGCACTGCCTCTTCCCTTACACACACCACACACACACACACCACAGACATACACACTGCACACACAACACACACACCAGACATACACAGAGCACAGACATACACACCACACACACACCACACACACCACATACATATACACACCACACACACCACACACACCACAGACATTCACACACCACACACCACACATACTACACATACACACAACACACATGCCGTACATACACACAGACCACATATTACCACACACACACCACAAACAGACCACACACACCTGATATACATTACACATACCATACACACACATCACACACGCCACACATACATAACACATATATAGCACACACATATACACCACACACATTCCACATACCACACACACACGCACACACAAATACCACATACACAGACCCCACACATTGTATAAACCCCCCCATCCACCACACACACCACACACACACCATACGTATACATCACACACACACATGCCATACATACACACACACACCACATATACCACACACACACACCACACTGCACCACGTAAACCATGTACGTGTGTGCATGGACACGTGGGCTGTGGGCTTGGTGGCTCATTCCTCAGACACCATTTCAACAGGGATTCACATAGCTGGGTTCCTAGGGGAAGATGAGAATAGTAACTGGGGCAAGGTGGGGAAAGAATTCCCCAGAAGAGTGATCCACCAGTGGGAACATTCTAGATTCCATGGTGTGCCCACTGAACTTGGCAGTTCTTGTCTCTGGTGAAAAACTCAGGGTTGGGGGGCGGTTGGGGAGGTGAAGGGAGGGGTCCTGGTTCAGTTTATGCAGTTTGGTGCTAGTAGGAACTGAAGGTCTTGCGTAGGAATCCAATCCCTCAGCAGAGTTAAAAACTTCCTAAAAGAACCTAGCCATTAGCTGTATGTTTGACTTACTCATAGTTGTTTTTTTCTTTCTTTGTGTTTTAGGGAAATTGGGGATGTAGTAGCTGGAAACCCACATGAGGTATGCCGCATTTTAGTATGTCAAGCTCTGACACTGATGCATAGCAGTCATTTGGGATTTCTTATTGATTCATAACTGCTCTTTATATATTGAGGATGATAACTTTATTCATCAGGGCCACAACATTTTCTAGGTCCTGGCTCTTCCTGATGAAGATAGATAGACACAGCACCCGGAACCCAGGCTTTGTAACACATTCCTACCCCGTAGGGGGAGTCTGAGTGTCCCCCACATTCGGACAGGTGGATCCTCAGAGCACTTGCTGTGAGCTTGAGCACTTCTGGGTAGGATGGAGAAGGCGATGGGAGAAAGAGATCTAGTCCCTGCTCTTAGACAGACTTCCATCCAGTCTTTTAGACAAATGACAGAAGCATAAGGAAAAAGATGAAGGGCAGCTCATGCCAGCAATGGATCTAAGCCTGTGTGAATGTAGTCTGAGGGTGCTGGAGTGAGCACCTCCTTTGGGAGGCTCCATGGGGGAGGTCATTTCAGAGCAGACTTTGGAGGAAGAAATGCACAGAGTTTGTGGGTTCACCTGCCTCACTCCCTCTACCCCTCCCTCCCTGCCCTGTTTCTCAGATGCGGTGCACGGAGGCAGCACGTTGAGTGTGGCTGTTTTGTGAGGGGTAGTGGTATTATTTGGCATATATCAAATCTTTAAGCTCTTATTTCTGCAGATGCATGAGGAGGTGCCAAAGATGGACCCATCTTGCCCTGGGGGCGGGGCAGTTATGCCGTGAGTCTATTAGATAGAAAACATGTGCCCCATTGTCTGTTCCTTCTCATTCCCATTAGTCTCTGAACTGGACTTGGTGCCCAGTAGTTAAGCTAATGGTCAGTAGCGGCCCCTGCCTTGAGTCAGCTGCAGTTCCTGGCACCAGAGGCCCTTTCTGTGCTTCTGCCGCTGGGTGGTCCCAGATGGTCAGAGCTCTCCCTCCTGCCCCCTTCCCCTTCCCCATTGCAGGTAGATGACAGCTCAGCCTCTTCCCTGCCCCCCAGGCCTTGTCTCTCACAGTAGCTGCTCCTCCTAGCGGTCCCAAGTGTGTTAGAAAGGCCAGTGTGCCAGTGTGGAGGGTGTGGATCTGAGTCCACAATTCAGGTGGGAAGTACTATCCTTCCCCACTCCCCCTTTTTTTCCCCTGCTAAATCAACTTAAAACTGACTCTACCATCATCAGAAATTCTACAAATAATAAATGCTGGAGAGGGCGTGGAGAAAAGAGAACCCTCCTACACTGTTGGTGGGAATGTAAATTGGTACAGCTACTATGAAGAACAGTATGGAGGTTCCTTAAAAAAACTAAAAATAGAGCTACCATGTGATCCTGCAATCCCACTCCTGGCCACATATCCAGAGAAAACCTTAATTCGAAAAGACACGTGCAACCACAATGTTCATAGCAGCACTATTTACAATAGCCCAGACATGGAAGCAACTCAAGTCTCCATCAACAGATGAATGGATAAAGAAGATGTGGTATATATGATGATGAAATATTACTCAACCATAAAAAAGAATGAAATCATGCCATTTGCAGAAACATGGATGGACCTAGAGATGATCATACTAAGTGAAGTAAGTCAGACAAAGATAAATATAATATGACATCACTTATATGTAGAATCTAAAAAAATGATACAAATGAACTTATTTACAAAATAGAAACAGGCTCACAGACATAGAAAACAAATATATGGTTACCAAAGGAGAAAGGAGGGGGAAGGATAAATTAGGAGTTTGGGATTAACAGATACACACCACAATATATAAAATAGGTAAACAACAAAGACCTAGTATAACTATACTCAATATCTTGTAATAAACCATAATGGAAAAGAATATGAGAAAGAAAATATATACATATATTCTTTCTCATACTCTGAATATATATATTTGAATCACTTTTCTGTACACCAGAAACTAACACAATATTGTAAATCAACTACACTTTAATAAAAAAAACTTACTGGGCTTCCCTGGTGCGCAGTGGTTGAGAGTCCACCTGCCAATGCAGGGGACACGGGTTCGTGCCCCGGTCCGGGAAGATCCCACATGCCGTGGAGCGGCTGGGCCCGTGAGCCGTGGCCGCTGAACCTGCGCGTCTGGAGGCTGTGCTCCGCAACGGGAGAGGCCACAGCAGTGAGAGGCCCGCGTACAGCAAAAACAACAACAACAACAACAGCAAAAAAAAAAACCCCAAAAACTTACTAACCCCCCATTTCAGGAGTTCAATCTCAGTCATTGTTGGGGTGCACCGTCTCCACCTCCCATGGTCTTGGGGTTTTCTGAAACACCAGGAAGTCTGTACCAGTCACGGGTCCTCACTGTTCTCCCTTGAGATGCCCACTGTCTCAGCTCATAGGTTCCTTCATGTCTGGCAGCTCTTGGGCTTCTGTACTAGGTCTGCGGCTTAGAATCTTTGGTAAACTAGGAGTCGCCAGGCCTAGGGGACAGCCGTCCCTTGAGGTCCCCAGAGCATCATGTATGGAGCCATACAAGGGTTCCCATATTTCAGGGCCCTGGGAACTGCCAACTTCTTCTTTGTCTCAGGGAAACTTGGCCTTTTCTCTTTAAGGTACCCCTCCCCTGACACACACACACACACACACACACACACACGCCACAGGGATAATATATTCAGGGGACTTAAGACTTTACAGGAGACAGGAAGAGCCATTGCCCTTGCCTTCAAGAACTTCTGTTTTCCTCCCTCCAGAAATCTCCAAGACTTGGACAGCTGGACATTTAAAGGGCCTGCTTGGAATGGGGGAGGGAAAAGAGAAAGCAATTGAACAAACACACTAGAGAAGGGTTGCAAAGATGCTGTCAACATGTAATATGACAACAGTAAAATAATACCTGTTTTTGCCAGGCTGCCTTACCATTTCCAAAGTGTTTTCATGTATATTTTCTCAGAGCAATAGATAATTCCACTACGTTAAGGTCCTTGAGAGCAAGGACCATGTCTTGTTCACCACTACATCTCAGACACAGATACAGAACAGTTCCCAACATGTGCCGGGTGTCCAGTAAATATTTTTTTGAAGGAGTGAACAAACTGAAGTACCGTTTGCCAGGCCATGTATGCCATCATTTAAAAGCATCTTTCTCCCTGGTATCCAGAAACTCCCATGTGCAATGACATCCCCTAGTGGTGAAGTACCTGCTATGCACCCGTTTGTGCCCGTGTCCATTTTTTCTTTCACTTTTTTAAAATAAATTTTTATTGGAGTATAGCTGCTTTACAATGTTGTGTTAGTTTCTGCTGTACAGCAAAGAGAATCAGCAATACATATACATATAACCCCTCTTTTTTGTATTTCCTTCCATTTAGGTCACCACAGAGCACTGAGTAAAGTTCCCTGTGCTATACAGTAGGTTCTCATTAGTTATCTATTTTATACATAGTAGTGTACAAATGTCAATAGCAATCTCCCAATTCATCCCGCCGCCCCCCCTTCCAAGGGGGACTTGAACTTTTAATATGCTTTGATATTGCACGTTTTCATGTATAACTTGTGTCATTTTTATAAGTACAGTATTTGAATGTCTGCATGATTCCTAGGTAAGAAGGCCATACAGTTGCTTTAATAGAATCCTCCCTATTACTGCAGTTGACTTCTATAGCCAGGACCTTCCCAGTCCCTGAGGGAGAACAGTAGAACTGGAAGGCAGGAATATTAAGGCCGGTGCTGTAGAGCTGGAGAAGGTGGGTCTGAGCAGCCAGCCCAATCCGCAGCCCTGAGATTTATCCTTATTGAAATGTATAGCTCTAGTCTATTTCTTCCTTTTTTTAGAGATTTTTTTTTGATGTGGACCATTTTTAAAGTCTTTATTGAATTTGTTACAATACTGCTTCTGTTTTATGTTTCGGTTTTTTGGCCACGAGGCATGTGGGATCTTAGCTCCCTGACCAGGGATCAAACCTCCACCCCCTGCATTGGAAGGTGAAGCCTTAATCACTGGACTGCCAGGGAAGTCCCTCTTCCTCTCTCTTTCTTCCCCCCTCCCTCCCTCCTTCCCTTCCTTCCTTCCTTTCTTTCCAGTTCATACTTATTTTCCCCCAGAATAATAGAATATTACTCTATGTTCAGAATCTGTAGACTTCACACCAGATTCGGGTTATCGTATATTTTATTACATGGATGATAAAAAGCTTTTATTCTACAAGACCACTTTAAAATCATACATGTGTGATGAGAAGTATTTATCATTTCTTCTAAAAACTTTAGATGTATTTTTGGATTTACTCCTCGTAAATGTAAACAGTATGATAGGCATTAAAACCCCTGTGTTATCGACGAGGAAGCAGAGCCCTGGCGAGGTTGAGTTGCAGTAGGAATGCTGAGAGCAGCTGCTCTGGGGGTCAGACTGGTGGCTGGTGAAACAGCGCACAAGCTTGACTTTGAATCCTGCCTCCACCATGTACCAGCTGTGTAATCTTGGCCTGCTACTTAACACTTTTAAACCTCAGTTTCTCCATCTGTGAAATGTGGATAGCAATGAGACCAATCTCATAGACTACTCATGAGTATTAAATGAGCCAGTCTATGTATAGTACCTGACAGGTAGTAAGTGCTCAACAAACGTAAGTACTACTACTACCGCTGCTACTCTTAATTGTACAGTATCATTGGGCCAGATCAGGCCTTTTGTACTTTCCTGAGTGATGCTTTTGGAAGAAATTGACTTGGTTTTCTGAAACTCTTCAAGACATCTGGGAAACTTGTGACTTTTCTGTCTGGTGATGACAGTTGAGGAGTTTCATTCCATTTTGCAAAGAGCCCATGGTCATATCAGAAAGTCTCTGGACAGTCATTCATATAATGATTAGCAATTTTCGAAGGACTTTGACACACATTAGTTCTCATTTGATTCTCAAATGACCCCATGTAACAAGCCTAGTTAATTTAATGCTGGACTTGAGGAAATGGATGTCAGAGCCCTGAGATGGAGTTTCGTAATTGGTCAGCGCGGTGTTTGAACTCCTGTCTTCTGGCTTCCAGTTCTGCTGTTTCTACTAGGCTGTGATTTTAACTCCTTTTTAATCACGTTGCTATTTCAGAATCTGGTGAAAGCTAAGAAAACACATGTTAACGTTACTCCCAATTTTCATGCAATACCTGAAGTTCACAGACCCCTTGAAGGTCATCAGTGAATCTCTTTTAGGAGCCCACAGACCCAGACTGAGATTCTCTGCTGTCAGTGTTGCCACCGATCTCTGAAAGCAATTCAGGGTTGAAATCAGAAATTCAGGGTTGGTGGGGATCACTTCCTCACATCGCTGATAGAGGAAGCCCCTAGACCCCTGGACCTTGCTGGATGGAGAGCTCCTGGGGCCAGGACCTTGGACCCCTCCTGTTTACTGTCATGTGCCCCCATCCACCCAGTGTCCGACACACGACAGATATGCGACAGATGTAGTGAATGACGAGCGAATGAATTTTAAATCTTTGTCTTTCATTCTCCTCAACGAGTCCCATCTTAACTTTGAAATTGCCCAGCCTTTTAGCCACACCCCAATGAGGTGGACAAGAAGACGGCCAGCTCTGGAGCCTGTTTGAGAAGCTTGCAGGGAAGGTGAATACAGGGCATAGACAAGCTCCCAGACAGGCAGGAGAGTGTTCTGGAAAGCTCAGCTCACCTGAGTCTTTCCCCTTGCATCTCCGTGAGTATAAATGATGAGGCCGCAGGTCTCCGGTCCCCCAACTCTGTCTGTTGCCACTTTCCTGTCTTAAACCTGAGAGGCCTTTCCTGCACTGCTGGGGAGAGGAATCTTGGGACCAAGGCCATTTTTCTTGCTGTGTTGACTGCTTTTTGAGAAAACAGAAAATCCGAATCTCCAGATCTTACCAAAATCCTTTCTGTGTGTAAACTGGCCCTGTTGGATCAGAGCCCTGACTTTATAAAAAGCGGGGAGGCAAAACTTCCCTATATCAATATCCTTCAGAGATGAGAGGAATCGCTCAGCCCAGGTGGCAGGCGGCTCAGTTAACCTGGCCTGGGATTACTGTTCACCGGCCCGCCGCCCTGCCTGCCCTCAGGGACACCAGCGGAGCTTGGGCTGTGGAATTCAAGTTGGCCCAGGTGCCGGCACCGCTCAGGGGCACATGGAGCCAGGGGAAGATGCTGGTGTGCCCCCTGCTTCTTCCCTCCCTGTCCTGCTGACTTAGTTTATTGTGATTCCAGTCCTGTGAGGCCATAAGTCAGAGCAGACTCAGGACTGCAAGTGTCACAACTGGCCCCATAGATACAGTGAATGCACTGCTCTTTGAAGGATAATAAGGTTTGCCAAAGGGCCTTGGAAGGCATCCGTCATCTTGGGCGGCCATAACAATGTACTGCAGACTGGGAAGCATATGAAACAGAATAAACAGAAATTTATTTCTCACAGTTCTGGAGGCTGGAAGTCTGAGATTGGGCATGGTTGGATTCTGGGGAGGGCCTTCCTCTAGCTTGCAGACTGTTGAAGTCTCACTGTGTCCTCACAAGTTGGAAAGAGGGTGAGGGATCTGTCTGGGGTTCCTTTTATGAGGGCATTAATCCCACTCAAAAGGGCTTCACCCTTGGGCTTCCCTGGTGACGCAGTGGTTGAGAGTCCGCCTGCCGATGCAGGGGACACGGGTTCGTGCCCCGGTCTGGGAAGATCCCACATGCCGTGGAGCGGCTGGGCCCGTAAGCCATGGCCACAACGGGAGAGGCCACAACAGTGAGAGGCTCGCATACCACAAAAAAAAAAAAAAAAAAAAAGAGAGCTTCACCCTCATGACCTAATCACCTCCCAAAAGTCTCTCCTCCTAATACTATGATATTGGGGATTGGATTTCAACATATGAATTTTTGGGGACACAAACATTCAGTCCATAACAGAAGGTAAAAACAATGCTCTCCACCCTGCAGGGAAGCTCAGAGCCACTTTCTAGACTTAAGGATAGCGTAGAAGAAAATACATCAGAATCCTTGCAGAAGATAAAACCTGGGAACAAAATTCCTTTATATAGCCATTAAAAAAAGCTTTGCAAAAATGAGTCAATCTGTGTTTTAGATGGGCGCTCAGACCAGTGTTTTTGCTAACAAAACCTTGTTGCCTTAGCTGCCAAGGGACCATATTTTATTTAGAACATCAAGACTGATAACAAAGTAAAAGTTCCTATTTGTATAGTTTTTCACGTACCTTATCTTTTCTCTCCGGCCTGGTGGGACAGTATCAGTCACTGTCCCTGCTCTGCGGGTGAAGGGTCAGGCACAGAGAGTTAAGGAGCTTGCTGGGGCACAAGGCCTGGTGAGGGACAGGCCAAGATCTCAACATCTCATTCTTGGCCTGGAGGCTTTTCAGAGGGTCCCCAGGTCTTATTATTGGGACTGACCGTGCCGTGCTTGAATGAGGCCAGCTGTGCTCACAGGCAAGGCTCCCCTGTGCAGCTCCCACCTCCCTGGTTTCTGGTAGAATAGCCTGGGCCTGGCTGGTGGAGGCGGGGAGAAGTGGGGCCCCATGGGGACAAGTGATAAGACCACACCTCACCAGAGGAAGTGACTTGGCTAAGGTCGCATGGAGAGTAAGGGACGGAGTCACGACTGGAACCCAGATCTCAGTCCAGCATCCCTTCTCTGAGCCTCATTCATCGTCCTGCCCGAGGTCTGCCCTCCAGCTCAGAGTTAAGGGACGAACCGTCCTACTGGCTCAGTGTTTATCCCAAATGCACGTGGGAAATCCTACTCCCCTAAATTTCTACTTCCAGTTTGAGATGGGCTATGTGTGAAATAGCAACTCCCATAGGTGCAGTGAGGAAAGCGGGCACTTTGGGGTGAGACAGTCTTAGGTTTCTGCCACTGGTGGCTGTGAACCCCCAGCAGTTACATCACATGGAAATGACAATTACATGGTGAATGTGTGTGGTGTTTAGCAATCACAGTTTCCTTAACTCTAACATGGGTGCAGGGCTGTTGTGAGGGTTTGAGGATGTCCCATATCAGGCGTGTGACCTGTCAGCACTGCCTCCTATTATTGCTTCTTGCCATGTCTTGGTCTTGGGTTAGACAAGCCCAGAGAAAGGCAGCAGGCACCGTGTGCAGCCTTCTGCAGAAGGTGTACCCCGCTCACGCCATTAATATACACTTCCCACCCGGCTATGGGGGCCCCAGAGAAACTGTGAATTGGAGTTTTTTAAAGATGTCGCAGCCTTTTAAAATCATAGAGTCAGTGGACCTGGTGTCTGACTCTACATGAATTTAATGTCTTGAAACGCTTGTCAGGGCCTGACGTGATTTGCATTTGGGTTCCTCTTTCTAGGATTCTGAGATCAGTGTCAATGAGCTCAAGACGGCTCTGAATGAGGTGTTTTCCAAACGTAAGTTCTTCCTTGGGGCTTTTCAGGAAGTATGGGAGCCTAAGACAGTTGCTGGGGTGGGGGTGGGGTAAGGATGGGTGCAGGCACTGGGCCAGGGGCACTGCAGATGGGGACAAGCGGCCTTTGGCCTCTGGCCCGGGGCCCTGATTCCCTCTGGGCTGATGGAGCATCCAGCAGGTGGGAGAGGCTGGAGCAGGAGGGGTGCTGGGCAGGATGAAGGCGGCGCTGGTGCTGGGGCCAACCGGCCCTGCAGGAAAGAGTCCGGAGTCTTGGGAGGAAAGAAGTTGGGCTGAGAGTAAGTGAAATTTTCCCGCCAAATTAATAACTTTGCTACAGTGGGAAACTGCGCAGCTTGAAGATCTTGTTCTGTAGTGCGTCCCTGGGGAAAGCGTGTGGAGGGGAGGATTCTGACTGTCCTAGGTCGTGACAGTTCTCCGTCTTTAGACTTTAGCAAGCCCCGGGGGCTGTCAGAGGATCAAGCTGCACCCAGGTTGAGGAAAGCCTTGCTCCTTCCCTCTGAACCGCAGCCCCATGTAAGCTGGCACGGAACTGGCTTCTTGTTGGGCCCAGGGATGGGCCAGGGTCAGGCTTCCGCCTGGTTGAGTGATGGGCATGTTCACCCATGGCAACAGGACAGGGGGTGAGCATGCAGGATGGAGGGGCAAGGCCGGGTGTGTGCCCACCTGGGGCCGAGCAGCTCCCCAGGGCTCAGAGCCCAGGCGCAGGCTCAGAGACACCCCGCCCTGCTCCAGCTCTCCCTCCTGCCTTGCAGAGAAAGAGCCCAGGGAAGAAGGGAGGATTTGCAGGGCCTTTGGTTCCTTCCTGCCTTGGCTCTCAGGTGTGGGCAAGGTGAGTATGGAGCCAGGGATGGCTGTAGCTCTCAGGAGATACCTGCAATTTAGCAGTAAGGATAACAGCTGCCGTTTGAGAGGCTGTGTGTCATGGTTGAAAGCTTGGGCTATGGAGACGGGTGGCCTGCGTTTAAATCCCAGCTCTGCCTGGGTCGTGTGATCTTGAGCAAATTATTTAACCTCTCTGGGCCTCAGTTTCCTTATCTATAAAATAGGGATGAAAGTATCTACCACATGGGGTTATTTGGAGGAGTAGAAGCACAGTGCTTAGAACAATACCTAGCCAATAAAAAGTTAGCTGATTTATTAAGAACTTGCCATATACCAAGCACTATGCTAGGAAGTTCACTTCCATTATCTCATTTTAGCCCCAATTAGCTTTGGGGGCAAGTACTGTTCTTATCGATGGAGAAAGAAACCAAAGCTCAGAGATATTAGTTTGCTGAAGTCCCGGTGGCTTGTGAGTAGCAAAGCTGAGGTTCAGACACTGAACCCCAATGCCAGTGCCCACCTGTGCCACCCCCAGGGGGCCCTGCCCAGGAGCCCGCCGCCATGCTCTCTCCTTTTTGTGGTGCTCACATCTGGCTCCGTACTCTGGCTGGCGTCCTTGGTGGCTTCCTACCAGGGAGATTATTTCCCCTGCCTTCAAATGATCCTGATTCCCTCCCCTCTTTTCTATTTAAATATTTAGGAACAGACATCAAATTCGATGGATTCAACATCAACACTTGCAGGGAGATGATCAGCCTGATGGATGCATCCTTTAAATGTCACATTATTTTTACTCTGATCCTGATTTTCAGGACTCCTCCACCTCTCCCAGTGAGACGGAGGCAAGGGAAAGAGGGAGAAGGGAACCAGCATTTTCTGAGCATATGTCAGGTACTTGCTTGAGCTGTAAAGGAAAATGTCATCTCATTTCTGCTCCTCAGTAAGTGCGAGATGATCCATTTTACAGGTGAAGAAACTGAGATGTGCCCTGTTGAAGTGACTTGTTTAAAATCCTTTAATTCAAAGACAGCAACTATGTGGCATTTGTGACCCTCCTCCAGTTCATCACAGTATTCCTCCCACGAGGCTCCTCCCACGAGGCCCCTCCCACGAGGCCCCTCCCTCCTCCTTCTCCCCGGCTGTTTCTATCCCCGGCTGTCTTTGTCTCCCAGTATTGACACGGCCACCACCAGTAGTTGAGAAATATCACACAGGATAAAACCTGTTTGTCACTCTGACCCAGTTTAACCCTCGCTGTGTATTGAAGAATGAGTAAGAGACCTGGGGAGGAATGGGGAAGGTTAGGGCATCCTAGGTGGAAGGAACGGCTTAAATGAACCGCAGAGTGGGGAACAGTGGAACATCACTTACTTGAAACTTGGCCTCAGGTGGGTCCAGGTTACCGTTCTCCATGGTGGTGCTGGTGAAGGTGATTTCTTTGAAAACTGGAGCCTAGGAGGGTGCCCCTCAGTTCTGAGGGCTTCATCCGTGATAAGATCTGATGACATTTGGGGCGGTGGGAATGAACTGTACTTACACAGCAGTCATGCAGAGGAGTCCTGGTTAGCCAGCACGCGTGTGCTGCCCTCTGTTGGGGGTGTCAGCCACGGAGAGCGGGTGCTATCCTTGTGGTCCCAGAGCTTCAGACGCTGGGACTCTCCAGCTCTGTGTCCTTCTATGAGGTCGGCATGGTCCACAGTTTAATTCATGAGCCACAAAGAACTGTTAAGCATCGATTCATTTTTCTACAAATAGTTCCTTGATTTCTGAATCATTCTTCTCAAACTTGCCTATCGACTTTAACTTAGATTTGAGGGTGACCTTGTAGTCACTCACTCATTGTTCCCGGGGTATTTGCATTTTCATGGCTCCAGGAGGACTGTGACTCAGTCATTCTTCAAGAGGGTCTGTTGCACGGTTTGGATGCTTTAGGGCAGTGGTTCTGAACCCGGATATGCAGCAGAGCTGCCCATGGAGCCTTGTGTAAATATAACAGCTTTATTGAGATATAATTCACATACCATCCAATGTACCCATTTATAGGGTACAGTTCGATGGTTTTTAGTATATTCACAGAGTTGTATAAACATCAACCACCCATTTTAGAGCATTTTTATCACCCCCAAAAGAGACCCTGCACCCATATTAGCAGTCACTCCCCTTTTCCTCTCAACAACCTGAAACCCTCTGCCCTACAACAACTTTGTCTATAGATTTGCCTGTTCTGGATATTTTCATGTAAATGGAATCATATAACATGTGGTCCACTATAGCATGTATCAGCACTTAAAAACCATGAGGTTTTAACAATCCAGTTGCCTGAGTCTCACTCCTGGAGATGCTGATTCATTAAGTCTGGGATGGGGCCCGGGAGTCTGTAGGCAATTCCATCTGGGATTGAGGATACATTGGTGCTCTGGGACAAGGGCTTTGGAACAGACAGCAGTCCAAGTTCTGGCTCCACCACAGTTATTGAATGCTCTGAACCTCAGTTTCTTCTCCTGGAAAATGGAATAACAATATGTAGCTTGTGAGGATGAAATGAGATACAAGTATACATGGGACTAGCTAGACCAGAGCGTTAGCCCTCCTTGTAGACTACTCTTCTCAGGTATGTTGGTTGAAGTATTAGGATTTGAAGGCTGTGGTGCATCCAACACTCAGCGTGGATCGTGGAAATAAGGACACAGACTTTCTTAAAGGGTGAGGTTTATACCCTTGGGTGTAAACGTGACTTTTTGTTTAGCTGGTTGAAGGAGGTGGGAATGATGTTCTGTTTCAGAATTTTAACATCTGAGCTGTAACACACTGGTGTCTAGTGATTAGTTGGGATGGCTGAGAAAAGGGTAGAGTTTCAAAGAGACTGAACTTCATGAGGGTGGGGACAGTTCAAAACCAGCCCCCCAGGTCGAGCCCAGTGCTTAATCAATATTGCTGGACACAGAGAGTTGCACACAACCCCTGGCCTGTTTGGGTTGAGCAGTGGCCTATGAGCCAGCTGTGCTCCTGGGACCATGTCCCAGGGTCCCAGGAATCAGTGTTGAGAAGCTCAGAGCTCCTTCAGGACACCAGACAAACATGTGTAGACCATGTGGCAGAGAATCCCAATCCCGTGCTCCTGAGGACTCTTCTGATAACATTTAAAAAAATATATTTATTTATTTGGCTGCGCCGGGTCTTAGTTGTGGCACGCAGCATCTTCATTGCCGTGTGTGAGATCTTCGTTGCGGCATGCAGAATCTTTAGTTGCGGCATGCGGGATCTTTAGTTGCGGCATGTGAGCTCTTAGTTGTGGCATGTGGGATCTAGTTCCCTGACAAGGGATCGAACCCAGGCTCCCTGCATTAGGAGCGCAGAGCCTTAGCCACTGGACCACGAGGGAAGTCCCTCTGATAACATTTTGACATCAACTATCAATGACATCAATATCAACCAGACATTTAAATCTGGAAGGGAATTTACAACAGACCATAGAGCTCAACCCCTCAATGACCCAGGATGACGAGGGTGCTGGATGCTAATGAACGGAGGGCGTTAGGCTCCTGACTTGCCCTTTGCTCCTAGCTCTGTACCTGACCTCAAAGGAGGGCCTTGGTGAGTGTTTGACTCTTTAATCTTTATTTGAATTTGTCTCCCACCAACATTTCCCACCGTGACCCCAGGGCCCTGCTTACTACAGACACGGATGTTCACTGAGGTCTTAAGACACTCACTGTGCAAGGTCACAAGAGAATGAAATCCATAGAGCATGTGGAATCTGGGCTTGATCATGTTGGCCTTTAACCTGCTTAGAGCAATGGGACGGGCACCTTGGGGCTGGTGGAATTCAAGACGCTCTGGTTGAAGACTCAGAAGTAGCTGGTAACCCCCCTCTCCCTGTTGTGCATACTCTGGGCTCTTGTCACTGTCCTCTGTTCTGTTTCTAGACCCTTGCCTTCTTTGACACCCATTCCTGATCTATTTGCTGCCCTGGTCTGACCAGATCCTTCATCATGGTCAAAGGCAACACCAAACCTGGACATACTGTTCAGGAAGGACTAAGGAGTCAATGAGAGATTGCCAGTTCTGTCAACGGAAGTGCTGTCAATGTGCCAGTGCTGTCACAGGAAGTTCCCCTGTTCACAGGGCAAAAGGACTAGCACCGGCCCTCAGCCCAAGCTCTTAATTTTGTTCTGGAAACTTCTTGGGAGGAATCAGTGAAGCCTTCTCTGAGGGTGTCCCTGGCCTTCTGAGGAAGTGGTGGGGTGGAGGGAGATGGTTCTGCAGGGGCCACAAAAAGCTGTTTTCTACCTGGAAATTTTCTTCTACTTTACGAGATCTATCGGGAAACTGATTATAACCACTCGGGGACCATTGATGCCCACGAGATGAGGACAGCCCTGAAGAAGGCAGGTGAGGACACGTCCTGTAGACAAGGTCTTGAGAGCCAGATGTGCTCACTTTATTTTATTTTAATTTTTAAAAACTTTTATTTATTTATTTATTTTTAACATTTTAATTGAAGTATAATTGCTTTACAATGGTGGGTTAGCTTCTGCTTTATAACAAAGTGAATCAGTTATACATATACATATATCACCATATATCCTCCCTCTTGCGTCTCCCTCCCAGTCTCCCTATCCCACCCCTCTAGGTGGTCACAAAACACTGAGCTGATCTCCCTGTGCTATGCAGCTGCTTCCCACTAGCTATCTATTTTACATTTGGTAGTTTATATATGTCCATATATACACTACCACTCTCTCACTTTGTCCCAACTTACCCTTCCCCATCTCCGTGTCCTCAAGTCCATTCTCTAGTAGGTCTGCATCTTTATTACCATCTTGCTCCTAGGTTCTTCATGCCTTTTTTTTTTTTACATTCCATATATATATATGTTAGCATACAGTATTTGTTTTCTCTTTCTGACATACTTCACTCTGTATGACAGACTCTATGTCAATCCACCTCACTACAAATAACTCAATTTCACTTCTTTTTATGGCTGAGTAATATTCCATTGTATACATGTGCCACATCTTCTTTATCCATTCATCCGATGATGGACACTTAGGTTGTTTCCATCTCCTGGCTATTGTAAATAGAGCTGCAATGAACATTTTGGTACATGACTATTTTTGAATTATGGTTTTCTCAGGGTATATGCCCAGTAGTGGGATTGCTGGGTCATATGGTAGTTCTATTTGTAGTTTTTTAAGGAACCTCCGTACTGTTCTCCATAGTGGCTGTATCAATTCACATTCCCACCAGCAGTGCAAGAGTGTTCCCTTTTCTCCACACCCTCTCCAGCATTTATTGTTTCTAGATTTTTTGACGATGGTCATTCTGACTGGTGTGAGATGATATCTCATTGTAGTTTTGATTTGCATTTCTCTAATGATTAATGATGTTGAGCATTCTTTCATGTGTTTGTTGGCAGTCTGTATATCTTCTTTGGAGAAATGTCTATTTAGGTCTTCTGCCCATGTTTGGATTGGGTTGGCTGTTTTTTTGTTATTGAGCTGCATGAGCTGCTTGTAAATTTTGCAAATTAAACCCTGTCAGTTGCCTCATTTGCAAATATTTTCTCCCATTCTGAGGGTTGTCTTTTGGTCTTGTTTATGGTTTCCCTTGCTGTGCAAAAGCTTTGAAGTTTCATTAGGTCCCATTTGTTTATTTTTGTTTTTATTTCCCTTTCTCTAGGAGGTGGGTCAAAAAGGATCTTGCTGTGATTTATGTCATAGAGTGCTCTGCCTGTTTTCCTCTAAGCGTTTGATAGTTTCTGGCCTTACAGTTAGGTCTTTAATCCATTTTGAGGATGGTGTGTTTTTGTGTATGGTGTTAGGGAGTGTTCTAATCTCATACTTTTACATGTACCTGTCCAGTTTTCCCAGCACCACCTATTGTAGAGGCTGTCCTTTCTCCAGCCGTACATTCCTGCCTCCTTTATCAAAGATAAGGTGACCATATGTGCGTGGGTTTATCTCTGGGCTTTCTATCCTGTTCCATTGATCTATCTTCCTGTTTCTGTGCCAGTACCATACTGTCTTGATTACTGTAGCTTTGTAGTATAGTCTGAAGTCAAGGAGCCTGATTCCTCCAGCTCCGTTTTTCGTTCTCAAGATTGCTTTGGCTATTTGGGGTCTTTTGTGTTTCCATACAAATTGTGAAATTTTTTGTTCTAGTTCTGTGAAAAATGCCAGTGGTAGTTTGATAGGGATTGCATTGAATCTGTAGATTGCTTTGGGTAGTAGAGTCATTTTCACAGTGTTGATTCTTCCAATCCAAGAACATGGTACATCTCTCCATCTATTTGTATCATCTTTAATTTCTTTCATCAGTGTCTTATAATTTTCTGCATACAGGTCTTTTGTCTCCTTAGGTAGGTTTATTCCTAGATATTTTATTCTTTTTGTTGCAATGGTAAATGGGAGTGTTTTCTTGATTTCACTTTCAGATTTTTCATCATTAGAGTATAGGAATGCCAGAGATTTCTGTGCATTAATTTTGTATCCTGCTACTTTACCAAATTCATTGATTAGCTCAAGTAGTTTTCTGGTAGCATCTTTAGGATTCTCTATGTATAGTATCATGTCAACTGCAAACAGTGACAGCTTTACTTCTTCTTTTCCGATTTGGATTCTTTTATTTCCTTTTCTTCTCTGATTGCTGTGGCTAAAACTTCCAAAACTATGTTGAATAAGAGTGGTGTGAGTGGGCAACCTTGTCTTGTTCCTGATCTTAGTGGAAATGCTTTCAGTTTTTCACCATTGAGGACGATATTGGCTGTGGGTTTGTCATATATGGCCTTTATTATGTTGAGGAAAGTTCCCTCTATGCCTACTTTCTGGAGGGTTTTTATCATAAATGAGTGTTGAATTTTGTCGAAAGCTTTCTCTGCGTCTATTGAGATGACCATATGGTTTTTCTCCTCCAATTTTTTAATATGGTGTATCACACAGACTGATTTGCATATATTGAAGAATCCTTGCATTCCTGGAACAAACCCCACTTGATCGTGGTGTATGATCCATTTAATATGCTGTTGGATTCTGTTTGGTAGTATTTTGTTGAGGATTTTTGCATCTATGTTCATCAGTGATATTGGCCTGTAGTTTTCTTTCTTTGTGACATCCTTGTCTGGTTTTGGTATCAAGGTGATGGTGGCTTTGTAGAATGAGTTTGGGTGTGTTCCTCCCTCTGCTATATTTTGGAAGCATTTGAGAAGGATAGGTGTTAGCTCTTCTCTAAATGTTTGATAGAATTCGCCTGTGAAGCCATCTGGTCCTGGGCTTTTGTGTGTTGGAAAATTTTTAATCACAGTTTCAATTTCAGTGCTTGTGATTGGTCTGTTCATATTTTCTATTTCTTCCTGATTCAGTCTTGGCAGGTTGTGCATTTCTAAGAATTTGTCCATTTCTTCCAGGTTGTCCATTTTATTGGCATAGAGTTGCTTGTAGTAATCTCTCATGATCTTTTGTATTTCTGTAGTGTCAGTTGTTCTCTTTTTTCATTTCCAATTCTATTGATTTGAGTCTTCTCCCTTTTTTTCTTGATGAGTCTAGCTAATGGTTTATCAATTTTGTTTATCTTCTCAAAGAACCAGCTTTTAGTTTTATTGATCTTTGCTATCACTTCCTTCATTTCTTTTTCATTTATTTCTGATGTGATCTTTATGATTTCTTTCTTTCTGCTAACGTTGGGGTATTTTTGTTCTTCTTTCTCTAATTGCTTTAGGTTCAAGGTTAGGTTGTTTATTCGAGATGTTTCCTGTTTCTTAAGGTAGGATTGTATTGCTATAAACTTTCCTCTTAGAACTGCTTTTGCTGCATCCCACGTTTTTGGGTCGTCGTGTCTCCATTGTCATTTGTTTCTAGGTATTTTTTGATTTCCTCTTTGATTTCTTCAGTGATCACTTCGTTATTAAGTAGTGTATTGTTTAGCCTCCATGTGTTTGTATTTTTTACAGATCATTTGCTGTAATTGATATCTAGTCTCATAGCATTGTGGTCAGAAAAGATACTTGATACGATTTCAATTTTCTTAAATTTACCAAGGCTTGATTTGTGACCCAAGATATGATCTATCCTGGAGAATGTTCCATGAGCACTTGAGAAAAATGTGTATTCTGTTGTTTTTGGATGGAATGTCCTATAAATATCAATTAAGTCCATCTTGTTTAATGTATCATTTAAAGCTGTGTTTCCTTATTTATTTTCATTTTGGATGATCTGTCCATTGGTGAAAGTGGGGTGTTAACGTCCCCTAATATGAATGTGTTACTGTCGATTTCCCCTTTTATGGCTGTTAGTATTTGCCTTATGTATTGAGGTGCTCCTATGTTGGGTGCATAAATATTTACAATTGTTATATCTTCTTCTTGGATCGATCCCTTGATCATTATGTAGTGTCCTTCTTTGTCTCTTCTAATAGGTTTTGTTTTAAAGTCTATTTTGTCTGATATGAGAATTGCTACTCCAGCTTTCTTTTGGTTTCCATTTGCATGGAATATCTTTTTCCATCCCCTTACTTTCAGTGTGTATGTGTCTCTAGGTCTGAAGTGGGTCTCTTGTAGACAGCATATATATGGGTCTTGTTTTTGTATCCATTCAGCCAATCTGTGTCTTTTCGTGGGAGCATTTAGTCCATTTACATTTAAGGTAATTATCAATATGTATGTTCCTATTCCCATTTTCTAAATTGTTTTGGGTTCGTTATTGTAGGTCTTTTCCTTCTCTTGTGTTTCTTGCCTAGAGAAGTTCCTTTAGCATTTGTTGTAAAGCTGGTTTGGTGGTGCTGAACTCTCTCAGCTTTTGCTTGTCTGTAAAGGTTTTAATTTCTCCATCAAATCTGAATGAGATCCTTGCTGGGTAGAGTAATCTTGGTTGCAGGTTTTTCTCCTTCATCACTTTCAGTATGTCCTGCCACTCGCTTCTGGCTTGCAGAGTTTCTGCTGAGAGATCAGCTGTTAACCTTATGGGGATTCCCTTGTGTGTTATTTGTTGCTTTTCCCTTGCTGCTTTTAATATGCTTTCTTTGTATTTAATTTTTGACAGTTTGATTAACATATGTCTTGGCGTATTTCTCCTTGGATTTATCCTGTATGGGACAAAAAAAAAAAAAAAGAAAACCTAGTACCAATTTGTGACTGAGCTATTCCAATTTTATGAATTAATCTTTAAAAAAATTCATCAATCAAATCAACACCAGGTTATAAAGAATTTTTACTGAAATTTGTTTTTTAACACCTCCAAAAGAGAAACAATCCAAATGTCTAAGAAAATGTTAATAATAACATATTTTCACATATTCAGCTATGTAATACAATTAGGAATAAAAATGATGATTTCAAAAAAAACAAACCCGGACAGACAGAACCCTGGGACAAATGGTAAAAGCAAAACTATACAGACAAGATCACACACAGAAGCATATGCATACACACTCACAAAAAGAAATAAAAGGGGGAAAAAAAAATCGTTGCTCCCAAAGTCCACCTCCTCAGTTTGGGATGATTCATTGTCGATTCAGGTATTCCACAGATGCAGGGTACATCAAGTTGATTGTGGAGATTTAATCCGCTGCTCCTGAGGCTGCTGGGAGAGATTTCTCTTTCTCTTCTTTGTTCGCACAGCTCCCAGGGGCTCAGCCTTGAATTTGGCCCCGCCTCTGCGTGTAGGTCGCCGGAGGGCGTCTGTTCTTCGCTCAGACAGGACGGGGTTAAAGGAGCCGCTGATTCGAGGACTCTGGCTCACTCAGGCCGGGGGGAGGGAGGGGCACGGAGTGCGGGGCGAGCCTGCGCGGCAGAGGCCGGCGTGACGTTGCACCAGCCTGAGGCTCGCCGTGCGTTCTCCCGGCAAAGTTGTCCCTGGATCCCGGGACCCTGGCAGTGGCGGGCTGCACAGTCTCCCCGGAAGGGGGGTGTGGACAGTGACCTGTGCTCAAACACAGGCCTCTTGGTGGCGGCAGCAGCAGCCTTAACATCTCATGCTCGTCTCTGGGGTCCGCTCTTTTAGCCGCGGCTCACGCACGTCTCTGGAGTTCCTTTAAGCAGCTCTTTAATCCCCTCTCCTCGCGCACCAGGAAACAAAGCAGGAAGAAAAAGTCTCTTGTCTCTTCGGCAGCTCCAGACTTTTCCCGGACTCCCTCCCGGCTAGCCGTGGTGCACTAGGCCCTTCAGGCTGTGTTCACACCGCCAACCCCAGCCCTCTCCGTGAGCTCCGACCGAAGCCCGAGCCTCAGCTCCCAGCGCCGCCCACGCGGGCGGGGGACCAGACAAGCCTCTTGGCCTGGTGAGTGCCGGTCGGGCCTGATCCTCTGTGCGGGAATCTCTCCGCTTTGCCCTCCGCACCCCTGTTGCTGTGCTCTCCTCCAGCGGCTCCGAAGCTTCCCCCCTCCGCCACCCACAGTCTCCGTCCGAGAAGGGGCTCCTAGTGTGTGGAAACGTTTCCTCCTTCACGGCTCCCTCCCACTGGTGCAGGTCCCGTGCCTGTCCTTTTATCTCTGTTTTTTCTGTTTTCGTTTGCCCTACCCAGGTACGTGGGGAGTTCCTTGCCTTTTGGGAGGTCTGAGGTCTTCTGCCAGCGTTCTGTAGGTGTTCTGTAGGAGTTGTGCCACATGTAGATGTATTTCTGATGTATTTGTGGGGAGGAAGGTGATCTCCGAGTCTTACTCTTCCGCCATCTTGAAGCTCCTCCTTTATTTATTTTTGACCGTGTCGGGTCTTGGTTGCGGCATGCGGGATCTTTTGCTGTGGTGTGTGGGCTCTGTAGTTGCAGCACGCGGGCTCTGTAGTTGTGGTGTGAGAGCTTAGCAGTTGCAGCACATGGGCTTAGTTGCCCCATGGCATGTGGGATCTTAGTTCCCCAACCAGGGATCGAACCTGCGTCCTCTGCATTGGAAGGTGGATTCTTAACCAATGGACCACCAGGGAAGTCCGCTAGATGTGCTCATTTTATTTTAATTATTTTAAAAATATTTCTTTATTTATTAGGCTGGACCGGGTCTTAGTTGCAGCATGAAGGATCCTTAGTTGCAGCATGGGGAAACTAGTTCCCCGACCACAGATTGAATCCGGGCCCCCTGCTTTGGGAGCACGGAGTCCCAACCACTGGACCACCAGGGAAGTCCCAAGATGTGCTCATTTTAAACTCTTAATATGATGATTGCTAATGACCATCAGTGGCAGTTACCTTATGTTGGATGTCAATGTGACAACAAATATTTGTTGAGCACCTTCCTTATCTGGGGAGGAGGGAATGTTGCTGGATTCTTTAGACTTTTTCTAAGGACTTTGCCTGTTACTGGGAAGGTGACAGCAATCACAGGGGACGGGGCTGTGAAGGGGATGGTCAGGAGAGACCATCCCCTCACCTTCCCTGTTTTTTCTTGCTGTAGCCAATGTGATGCACAGCTGAGTTAGTACTGGAGCTACAGGCCTTATTCTTGGATCAGGGAGGAGGCTTATCCTGTTGAGGATTATCTAAAAGGAGACTGATTGGATGACTAGACCCTTCTGGTATCTTCTGAGGGGGGCAGCGTCAGGCCTGAGTCAGCCCTGATTTCTGCTGTAGACAGGGCCGAGCCCCCCACTCCACCTATAACCTTGGCCCCCTTCTGACCGTAGGTTTCACCCTTAGCAACCAGGTACAGCAGACCATTTCCATGCGGTATGCATGCAGCAAACTTGGCATCGACTTTGACAGCTTCCTTGCTTGTATGATCTGCCTGGAGACCCTCTTCAGTGAGTCACTCTCTCCTTCAACCCTATCTCATTTCTCCTGAGGTGCGGAGAGGGGCAGGGGGCAGGGCCAGCAAGCAGAACCAGACAGGCTTCAGAAACTGTGGCATCCTTGGGGGAGGGGAAGCAGAAACTAAAGCGGCCAAGGAAGCCCAAGCTGGCCACGCCCAAAGTGCTGCCTTCTCTGGGAGATTTAAAAAGATTGTTGTGGGCTTCCCTGGTGGCGCAGTGGTTGAGAGTCCGCCTGTCAATGCAGGGGACACGGGTTCGTGCCCCGGTCTGGGAAGATCCCATATGCCGCGGAGCGGCTGGGCCCGTGAGCCATGGCCGCTGAGCCTGCGCGTCCGGAGCACGGGCTCCGCAACGGGAAAGACTGTTGTGCACCTACTACATGCAGTCACTGGGCCAAATGAATGAGTCCCAGCAACGGTCCTTAAGTGACTTTTAACATCTGTGCCTCCATGGGGATCATACTGAGAGCGTGTGTCCCTTCCCAGGGAGGGAATAGGGGTCTCCTTCTGGAAGCCTTTAGATGGTCTAGTGCCCCCTTGGGCTCATGCTAAGGTATCATATTAAGGGAGGGAGTTTTCCTTCCAGTGAGGGCTGGGAAGTGGTAAATTCTAATGGGGAAAGGTCAGTGACTGGATTACTCACAAATGGGGCAACCACCTCTGTTCCACGACCCCATCGCCAACCCCTGTTGAAAGAATTGCAAGTTTCTAGAGCTTGTGAGGGTGGAGATGGCAAAAGGACCTTCTCTGCTCACATCTGGAGGTTTGTCTAATTGGGCAAGGGGACGTCTGCTGTCTAAAACCCTCACCCTGGGCACTGGATCCAGATCTAGCTTTTCGGGGTCCCTGAAGCTGAGTGGGAGCTGGGAAGGGTGCAGGGGCCGGGGGAAGGTACCAGGTGGGGTGGACAGAGACAGCTCTCTTTGGCTGTTCCAAAGTCCAGGAACATCCCCATCTGATTTCATTCGTTCTCTGTCATTCTAGAACTGTTCAGCCTTCTGGACAAGGACCGGAATGGCGTTGTCCGGCTCTCTCTGGCAGAGGTAAGTGGTTTTGATAAACTGCTTGCTGATGGTACTTGAACATTCTTGGATGGTATTGCTGCCGAGTGCTGTTAATTCACACTGACCTGTCTTATTTCCGTGTGGATACAACGCATGTTCTATGGCAGGCATTGCCGGGAGGAGTGAGATTGTCATCAATCTTTCAAATATTTTTATTTATTATTATTATTATTGTTTTAAAGATAAAGCTACAGTTACAGATCAGATCATTTCAAGGATGCAAGCTCTCATTAATTTGGATGGAATGGTGGGTGGTAGGTACAATTTAAAGTGCCTAACCTTTAGGACCAGGCATCTTTGATTGACGTTTAGAAGGATATCAGAAACAAAGAATTAAATTGCAACAAGGTAGAGTGCAGATGCAAAATAGATGGATGTAAATTACTGTGTACAAAGCCCATAATATCTTACGCTGACAATGTCGTGCCCTTCCCCTGTGGAGGGCTGCAGCCTATGCAGCAGGGCCTTTATTGGCCTGTGGGGATGCAGGTGTGGGCATGTGCTGAGGGGCCAGGCCAGGAGGCATTGCCCTAGATCTGTTTCTCAGGCAGAGGAACTAGAGCACCAGGTTATTCCTGGCCCTGCCTAGTTGTCTGGGTACAACCACTTCTTTTCTTCTCTAGAATGGGAATGTCATTGACCCCTTTCAGTGATCTAGGGAAGGCCCTCCTGGAAGCATGTCTGTGGATGTCTACAAACACCCGCTCAATAGTGTTGAACCTGAAACTTTTGGAAGTCCCTTTGGGGCTAAGCTTTTCCTAAGTCACTTTTCCATGGGGCTCTGGCTCAGGGGGTAGTGACCTAGTTAAGGGCTTCCTTGCTCCCTCCTGTTGAGCAAGGCACTTACTGGAGGACACAGCTAGAACAAGTCATACCACTTGAGGCAGGAGAGCGCCTCTGGCGCAGTCACACCAGCTCCTGAGGACCCCTGAGCTCACCCCGATCTCCTTATTTTGCAGTGGCTGTGCTGTATGTTGGTCTGACCCAGGGTTCTGGACATTGGTGTTGCTCCCTGCCAGGCTGCCTGCCTCTTTTCTCCCTTTCTTTACAGTTTTGTGCACATTTATCCTCAAGGGGGCATTCACTGGTTATTCATCTCTTCCTTGCCGTTTGTTGTTCCCTGAGATCCTGGCCTGTCCCACTGGAGCAGTCCGGGGAGCCCGCGATCTCTTTCAGCAGCATTTAAGCTGATCCCAGAGCACAATGGAGAGACAGAAATTAATTAAAGTTGTGGGTCAAAATGGTTTCTGCCTTCCTCTAGTGATATGTAATCTGGGGGGTGCCCTGGGGTGTTCCTGCTTTAGAAAAGACGTTCTTGAGCAATGACGCAGCCCAAAGCTGCTGAAAGATGTGAAATGTGGGTGAATTTCTTGGAGGAAAGGCCTGCTATAGATTAAACTGCCTCTGGGGACTGCCTTCAGGAAAGGAGCTGCCCCTGCCCTTCCGAGGAGGGTGCAGGGAGGGGCTGCTGGGGGGAGAGGCCTTTCTTCCTCACTTGCAGATGGGAGAAATTGCTATACTGCAGGTCAGCATGGGCTAAAGGAAAGGAAAGGATAGGAAAATTCTTGCTGAGGGGAATTCTTACCTGACAAATAGCTTGAGGGGAAATGCAGTTCAGGTTAGTTTTGCTCATGGCGGAACACAATGATCTTTGTTGTTGGTAAGAAAATAGGTGCCATAGCTTAGTGTCCTAATGGGTAGTTGGGGACAGAGCTGACTCTCATACGCAGATGTTGGAAATGAAGTGTACAGGAAGATGAGTGTCTTAGTCAGTTTGGGCTGTCTGAGCAAATACCAGACACCAGGTGGCTTATAAAAAACAGACACATTTTTTTACAGTTGTGGAGGCTAGAAGTCCGAGATCAGAGCAGCATAGTTGGGTTCTGGAGATCTCTCTCAGACTATAGACTTCTCATTGTGTCCTCACAGGGTGGAGAGCAGAGGGGAAGCAAGATCTCTCATGATTCTTGGAAGAACACTAATCCCATTCATGAGGGCCCCACCCTCATGACCTTATCCAACCCTAATTAGACCCCAGGTCCCACCTCCTGATACCACCACATTGGGGGGTGTGGTTTCAACGTATGAATTCGAGGGGGATACAACCATTCAGCCCATAGCTGTGACCTACTGGAGAGAAAACACACATTTATGCCTTGGCCTCTGTATTAGTCTGATTAAAGATTAATTTTTGACCTCCAGAAGTAGAGCTGGATGAACGTTCCTTATAGGGACATGATTTATATGTATGGTATAACACCCGTCAGCTTGTTTTTTTTTTTGAAGTATAGTTGATTTACAATATTGTGTTAGTTTCATGTGTAGAGCAAAGTGATTTAGTTATATATATATATATATTTTTCAGATTATTTTCCATTATAGGTTATTACAAGATGTTGAATATAGTTCCCTGTGCTAAACAGTAGGACTTTGTTGTTTATCCATTCTATATATAATAGTTTGCATCTGCTAACTTCAATCTCCCAATCCATCCCTCCCCCCTTCTCCCCCTTGGCAACCTCAAGTTTGTTCTCTATGTCTGGGAGTCTGTTTTGTAAATAGGTTCATTTGGGTCATATTTTAGATTCCAAATGTAAGTGATATCATATGGTATTTGTCTTTCTCTTTCTGACTTACTTCACTCAGAATGATAATCTCTGATTGCATCCATGTGGCTGCAAATGGCATTATTTTGTTCTTTTTATGGCTGAGTAGTATTCCATTGTGTGTGTGTGTGTGTGTGTGTATATACATATATATATATGTATATAAACCACATCTTCTTTATCCATTCATCTGTTGATGGACACTTAGTTTGTTTCCATATCTTGGCTATTGTAAATAGCGCTGCTATGAACATTGGGGTGCATGTATCTTTTTGAATTAGGGTTTTCTTTTTTTTCCTGGATATATATCCAGGAGTGGGGTTGCTGGATCATATGGTAGCTCTATTTTTAGTTTTTTAAGGATCTTTCCATAGTGGCTGCACTAATTTACATTCCCAGTGTAAGAAGATTCCCTTTTCTCCACACCCTCTCTAGCATTTATTATTTGTAGACTTTTTGTTGATGGCCATTCTGACTGAACACCAGTTCGCTTTAATGCTGTCTTCAACTCTCCCAAGGCCCAGCGGGGAGAAGGGGTAGGCCCTTAACTGAAGGGGGCTGTGGGAGCTCTGGGATCCCACCCCTCAGGGAGAGGCTCTGGGACGGCGCCCCTGCAGGGAAAGCTCACTCATCGGAGGGTGGAGAAGGAGCTGTATTTGTTTGGCAGTCTGTGGGTCCCAGAAGAAAAGAGGTCCTTCCACGTGTAGTCAGAAGTATGAGGGAGCTTTCGTCACCTGGGTCATCTGCAGGACCCAGCAGGTGTATGTCCAGCTGCCCTCAGGCTGCCTGGGGATACCACCCAGCCTGCCCCTGTCGGCCCAGGTGGTGTTAGGTACAAGTCCCTGACCCACCCCGTTGTTTAAAACTAAAGTACTACAAAGCAGTTCTCCTTTACATTTCGAATATAGCATGGCTGCCTAAGTTGAAAGGACTGTGTTATAATCAGCTGGCAGCAGGTAGGTTTATTTTTCAGGCCTACAAGCTACTTCAGGGAATAGTCTGGTAAGCAAAAAAACCAAACCAAACAAAAAAACCCAAACAACAGTTTAGTTACAAAATAGATTTGCTTTGGGGGTCCCAGTCCCAGGGAAGTGTTGTGCTGGGGACTTCTTATCAGTACAGCCTGTGAGGCCAGCTAAGGATCTTAACACTGCATAGCTTTCCTCTTAAACACCTGAGAGTTTGCTGTATGCTCCTTTCTGCCCCCTGAATTAAGGCAGCAGAGGTGCTGCTTTTTGGTGTGGCCTCTTCGTCGCCCCTCTATGTGGCTGCATCTCAGGAAAGATCAGCCCCTGCTGGATGGTGGCTCCTCAGCGTGGATTCCCCAGGGAGGCTCCTGCGCTTCCCCGGCCGAGCCCTCCCCCACGTTATTGCGTTAACGTGTTTCACGTCTTCTCTGTTCCTGTGGACAGCCTGTGAATGCAGAGTTCCTAATTCCTCCAGAGCCTAGAACAGTGCCTGGCACAGAGTAGGCACTCAGTGAGTGAAACCCGTGTCCTTTCCTTTGCACATGAGGAAGTTCTGCAGCACTTGGGCCCCACTTTGTTTTCCTAGTAGAGAGGATGGGTTTGCACTGGTCCCTCACAGCAATTTCCTGCAGCCCCAGAGGGGAACTGCTGATGTTTGGATGCGTTACAGCCAGCCTCCATGGGCGGGTGAAGGGCTGGAGGGGGGGATGGCGAGAAGAAGATGTGTCCCCTGCAGGGTCCCCTGCTGAGCTGCCCCGTCCCCAGGCTCCTTCCCACCCCATGCCAGGAGCCGAGGCAGCCATTGCCTCCCGCGTTGGCGGGTCTTTGATTTGTGCAGAGAATCCGTGGAGGCTCTCGGCTTCCCCACTTTCTGGAAGGAGAGGGAAGCAGCTCGGCAGGAGGCTTGAGGCAGCTATGGGGGTCAGGGTGAGCCTCCTTCTCTTCCTCTCCATCCTCCCTCGCCTGCAGAGCCCGGTCACTTCTCTTAAAGGCCGAGCTTGTTTCCTCATTAGTAAACGTGAGGACACACACGCCACCATGCCGCCCCCAGACGCAACTGAGGCCTCCGGGAGCATGGAACCTGACACTGGTGGGAGGCGGTCAGGGTGTATGGACGATGCCGGGTAATTCCACACCAGCAAGGCCACCTCTAGCCAGTCCCCTTTCCCGTGAGAGCTTCGAGTCACGCAGTATTAGCTTTCTGCTCACGTCGCTGGCCTAAGCAGGGCTTTCGGTAATTATGCACAGCTGCAGAAGCCGTGTTGAGCAGGGCTGGGAGAAGCCGGTGGCCCTGCCACGCGCAGCAGGGGGCTCTTCCCGCCAAGGTCCCGACGGCATCCTGTGCGTTCTGCCCGGGGCGCAGCTGGCGGAGGCCCCCGCTCTGCTCGGGGCTCCCCTCCGTTCCTCACCGCCTCCCTAAAGCCAGCCGCTCCTCCGGGCTGGGGCAGCGGGGCACACAGCAAAGTCCTGCATCAGCTGTTCTCGCTCTGCCACCTAGGCTGACTTCTTGCCTCTCGCTCCAAGCCTCACGCTGCGCAGCCTCTCAGATGCCCAGCATCTTTTTTTTCTTTTTCTTTTTTTTTTTTTTGCGGTACGCAGGCCTCTCACTGCTGTGGCCTCTCCCTTTGCGGAGCACAGGCTCCTGACGCACAGGCTCAGCGGCCATGGCTCACAGGCCCAGCCGCTTCGCGGCATGTGGGATCTTCCCGAACCGGGGCATGAACCCGTGTCCCCTGCATCGGCAGGCGGACTGTCAACCACTGCGCCACCAGGGAAGCCCCAGATGCCCAGCATCTTTTCACCTTTAGATGTTCCAGTTTCCCACAAGCCCTGATCCTGTCATTGCTTCCGCTGTGGCTCCAGGACACGGCCAAACCCCATCTCCCCACCCCACGCTTCTGTGCTCTCCTTCCATGGGGGATCCCATCCCGCCGGTCGACATCTCCCTTATACATGAACCCTTCCCTTTTTTTTTTTTTTTGAACCCTTCCCTTTGATTGATGGGCTGGGTTGACCTCGAGAGTTCACATAATTGGACAGTGGACAACCAAGACACCCCCACACCCCCAACCTCTCTCTGCACTTCAGAACGGTGTCAGGAAGGACCTAGTGCGGGGACACCTACCTGCCACCTTTGCTCTGCTCCGCGGCTCCATGTTATAGATAGGGTGACTGTGGAGCCCATCTGTGTGATACAGACAAGGATAGAGAGAAGCATCCTGAATCCCATCTGCCTTCAATCCTATCTGATGCGTACCTGTCATACCTGAGCTGCAGTCTTTGGGAAGGATAGCAGTGGTCACTTACTAGTGGCAGCTCGTGGGGGAAAGGGTGATGATTTGGAGTTTGCAAGCTGTAAATACACACGTTGACTCCTTACAGTTTTGGGAGGCCTGTGTTTGCTTCACC